GCGACTGACCCGATTCTTTTCCTCGCTTAAGATATCGCAATGTATGGAAAAAGAAAAAAAAATGATAAAAAAAAAAGTGTAACGAAGTTTATAATTGCAAGTAAGTACTTGAGCGAGCGAACGAGCGAATTTTTCGAAAGTAAAAAAGTCGGAGTGTGTAGGGGAGCGCCCATAACACTGTAATATTTTACGTATACGATGTAACACGAAAATGAACGAGGCGCCCAATGTAATTTTGTTCATACATATATTTTTCAAATATAACACGTACGACGTGCAAAATTATAGCGGTATGAGGCCGTATGGCGTATGAGCTATGTACTAGGCATCGTTTTTCTTGACTATTACATCAAATACCCAATTCCGAAACAATTTGTAAAATTGTTCCGGAATAATGTACAATATACGCGAATCAAGCTCAGCCAACTATATTTTTATTTCTACGTATGACGTGTATATAAAAAATCTCGGTGCATACAAGTTGCACAACACACACACACACTGAGCACACTCTACGAATACGAAGTGCATCAGTAGCAACAGCCTAACAATGGGACGTCCGCCCCCGCGCGCACCGGTATAGCATACAATGTGTGCGCGAGCTTTTTTTCTCTCTCTCTCTCGCACTTCGTTGTTGTGCTGCACAGAGAGAGAGAGAAGAGCATGCAGCTCGTCGTACATAATATATAAGAAGAGAAAAAAAAAATAAAAAGAGAGCCACGCGTCGACCGTGACCCAATAATAACGAGCGTCATATGCATGTATTGTATGTGTATTATACCACAACGCAAAGTACAACACACCTATTCAATCATCGAGTGGCAGAAGTATATGCCGGTTTTGAGTTTTATATAGTTAATATACGCGGGAAGGAGGAAATGGTTTATAGCGCGCAACGTGCGTCCGAGAGTTACGTCACGATAGTACAATCCGATTACACCTGCTATGTATACATAAACAACGACATACTTCTAAATTTTTCTGCGGATAAACAATAATATCGAAGCTGCGAGGAGGGCGGCTTCTGTCGTAGCTGCAGCTTTAATGTCGAACATACACCTTATTTTTCCGTATACAGCATATCTCGATATTTTCGCTTTCCAAGTCCACGATCGAGTCCGCAGCGAGTATAATCAACGCGATTCCCTCTCTTCTTTTTCTCTCTCAACTCCAATGAGGCGCGGCGGCGGGCCACACGCGAAAACGGAGAAAGTCGCTGTGCGCATTGTAGCTGTGCTCTCGAGAGAGAGAGAGACCAATGTTGTTGCTATCATTATAACGAAGTAGCCGCCGCGCGCGAAAAGAAAGTTTTTGCGCGATCGGTATTTGTGGATGCTTATACTGGAGTTGCTTGTACACCACTGTCATCTCCGGTTAGATAAAATTGAGGCATGACTATTGTTTTGAAATTTCGATGCCTTGCCTGTGCTACCGATATTCTTGCAAAAAACGTAAATAAATAAACGCGAGGCTAGCCGTGCGACTCGTTCGATCGCTTCTCCATTCTTTTCTCGATGCCTATATGAAAGGGATAGAAAACAAAAGTGATCTAGTTATTTCGTCGCGATCGATTTGGTTTACCAGTAAAAGCCATCCGTATATATGTATACAGGTACAGCTAATCGAGCGGTGCAAACCAACCAACATCGTGATTCGTGTCATATACATATACACATTTTTATACATACACCGGAAAACAAAAACATATACTCGGCGCACAAGGTCAACCCGAATATATATACGTATTATATACCAGAGATCCAAGCACAGTAGTGACTTTTCGCGGATACACCGCCGCCGCCGCATACCTTTGTATTTGTATGTATAGCGATCGCAGCAGCTCGCTAAAAACCGATAATAATAAAGCGGCGCTCGCGCAGCGGTGTTATTTCAACGATGCACGCGCGCGCGCGGGCACACAATGTATGCGATGTTTTTTTTTTGTCTCTTCTATATAACGACGCGAAAACAGATTAATTTTCTATAGCGAGCAAAAAAAAAGGGAGGGGAAAAAACGAGGAATCGTGCGTTGTAATACGCAATAATTCAAAGGATATGCGTATAATATGTGTTCACGTGATCGGCAAAAGTGAATGTCAACCTGCATCAAGTATACATATATACACACTTTTCGCATTACTCGTGGACACGCGGCGCGTACGAGACTTTTACTTTCTTCGCGAATCGCGTTCGCGAGGTGCTTTATAATGTACATACGCTCCACTGCATAATGATAATAATAATATTCGCGGCTTATAAAGATTCGCATTGCCGAATTATTTTTAAAAATGTGTGATTTATGCTATTCACCCATATATATCGCACGTATATGGTCTATGGAATTCGCGCGCATACCATTCATGAATCAGCCGCGAGAAATTTTCTCCTCCTATAATATATAGCTCTTCTTCTCCCTTCTATATCTTTTCCACCCCTTCTACCCCTCGATTTAATAGTCGTCGTCGTCGTCGTCATCTTCGTTTGATGAGCATAGACTATATAGTCAGCCGTCACACACCTCCCTTTACCCCAGCAGCATCCCTCCAGATGTATTATATACAAGTAAATATCACTTGTCTGATTCTCGTCGACACGCCTGCGCATAACCACCGACATCCCCCCCCCGACTTTGCTCGTGATGCTGCTGCTGCTGTCACTGTGCTGCGTAAGAAGTGCAATGTCACTCACCCGCATCCGAAATAGAGACTCCGCTGGTTGAATGTCGCGTATGCTGTAAAACTGCACCTGGCGCCAGTGCAAAAAAAGCCCACCACCACCACCACCATCGTTGTGATTTGTTTCACGGCGCGTCCGACAAGTTCAAGTTTTTCCGTATATTACGTGAAATCACGTCGCATCGACGCCCGATCGTAAGTACCTGATAAAATTACGTCATTTTTTAATATTTTGCACGCGATACGCGATTAGCTTTTTTTTATCGTCCTCGAGCTCTCGTGACTCGACGCACGTGAATGCAACAAAAAAAAACATTTGTCCAGCCTTCTTAATTGTATAATAATAACTCGTATCACAATCTATACTATATATACGCAGCCGGAAATCCAATTCTCTCTCCCCGCGGATGGCGTAATCTATCGCCTATTAATCGCGTTTCAATATACAAATCCGCGGCGCGCGAGCGCGGCGCAGTTTAACGACCGATTAGAGTTCAGCGGCGCGCGGTATAGTAGCAGGCCAAGCCGCTCCGCTGGCGTTTTTGCGGCCTAATTAACCGCCTCGAGGCTGTCTGTCAGCCAGCCAGCCAGCCTGCGTCTACTGTGTGTCATCATATCGTCGTCACCCTGCCTATAGATATATAGCTTGGCTAGTAACTGCTTCATTCGCGCTCGACGCACGAGATTAATTACAAAACAAAAAAAAAAGAACGTCTATATTAACGGATCAGCAGCGGTGCAGAATTTCATCGCTTTCCTCTCGAGACTATTATAAAACGATTACGATCGAGCCCCTGCACTTTTTCAAACGAAATAAACAAATGCGAGTATAATAAACTCACTCAGAGACAAAGGAATAACAACTGCCTAAATAGACATCTTTTTTTTGCGTCGCAATAAGCCCGCATCGACTGTGTCATCATCTCGCTCCGACTACTACCCCTCTTGCTTGCACGGCTCTCGTTCTCTTACCTATAACGCGACTTACCCCTAATTCGCACCTCGGCGCGCGGGCACTATATACAGCTACAACAGCACACTCGACGTCGCCTCATTTTCATCGTAATATACCACTGCCTTTTATTGGCTGATATTACTATATGTACACACGTGTGACAGCGGCAGTTATCAATCAGCTGGTAATGAAAACCACACGCATCTCTTGCGTTTAAACGCATAATATACACACACATATATATATACGAACGCACACCGATGCAACGTTTTTCGTGCTAAAAAGCCGCTAGCGAAGCGCCATCACCGGGAGAATTTCGCTGTGTGTCGTCGTATCTGCTATATTATGCTATACGGTGAAGCCTGCTGTACTGCTGCTGTCTGCCACAGCAGTCCAAGCTGCTGCTGCCAGATCGTATAAGCGTTCGTTGTGTGCCTGTGCGCGAGCCAAGCCAACACAGAGCGGTGGTACTGAGTGGGCAAAACACAACGCGAGCATAATTCGCGTGCAGAGAGCAGTAGCTTTCGCGGTGCAGCACGCAGTGTTAATACAGTGACTCGTGCTCTCTTCGCTTTATAAAAGATAAATATACATACGCAACGCGGACGGACAACTTAACGTTATAAACATATCAGCGCAGCGCATGTGATACACGTATATATGTAATAATAATAAATAAACATAACGTTCTTGTATATTGGATTATATTATCTCGGTGCCCCCCCAGCCGTCTTAGAGAGTGAGACAGAAGAGGAGAGGAGAGAACGCAAAGTGCACACGAGCCAGCAGCCCGTAAAAGGTTTATCATCGACGAGTCGTGGTTGTTTTTTTTTTTTATATAATTAAGTATAAATGAGAAAAAAAAAGAAATCCGTGTCAAGACGCACTAAACCGGACGCCATATAGCCACTGTGAGTCAGTCCACCTCGTGTGTGCTTGCTCTCCGCTGCGCGCTCGTAGCTTGTCATTGCGCTGTTTGTGTTGGTGCTGTTGTTTGTTATCGTTGTTTTTGTCGCGTTGTTATTTTATCATCGATGCTATATTACTCGCTGTTAGTTCGATGATGTACAAAAAAAAGTGCGTCGAAAAGTTAATCTCGACGCTCGTCGCAAATGTCGCCGAAATCACTTCTATATAATCCGAATCGCACTGGTAAAAACAAAACGTACGTGACGTACACCTACACATCCATATCTACTACTTGTGTGTGCATATATATATACGTGAAGTTCTATATGACCGCGAGAGCGAGAGAAAGAGAGAGAGAAGACGCGCCCCTCCTTTGGTCGCGCGACTTCAACGTGCATGTGTGTGAGTGTGTGTATTCTTTCTCTCTCTCCTCGCTCTCCGCTGGTCTCGCTGCCTTATATACATGTTATACACACATATATAATACATGTTATAAAAAAAAAAAATAAGAATTAATCAAGCCACACGGAGAAAGTGTCTCTCTCCTTCTTCGATTCCTCCATTGTCGCGGCGCGATTACGTACGGACAACAGTAGTATTAGTACTACCTACTATCGGTGCATGCCACTCGGCTTTTTTTTTATCTTTTCTACCTGTAATAACGCAAACTCATAATCTCGTAATCGCTTACAATAACTAATCTTTCCCTAACAATACTATTATTATGTTATACAGAGCACGCACGACTGTAAGGCAGGCGACAGCGACAGCATCAGTAGTAACAGCGCAGTAGCAGCAGCCCCAAATTGAAGTGCAGCAGCAGCAGCAACGGACACATCGGAGCCGCCGAAGACGCAACGTAGTATATCTATACCTATACATTTCAAGTCAGACAGCGGCGTGTTGCGCTGCTGCTTCGATTACGCTACTTACTACACAGGCAGCAGAGCTCAGTGTGTCTTACTACTGCGGCAGCGAGTGCGTGTCAGTCTTAGTGCTCTATCGTCTGTGTGCTGTGTGCATATCATTTGTTATAGTTAATAATATAATTCGTTCTCATGGAGAAAAGACACGATTCGAACGCGGAGTAGCGCAAAAAATGTAAGTATATATCTTGCTTATGGTGTAACGAATGCCCTCGATAAAACGCGTATGCTTTCGTCGTTGTGTTGTCGCGTGTATAGGTGAAAATGTACCGTTCTGGTCAGGCCCATTATTTCGTACACGTTACAAAACGGCATGCACAATGCGAGTATACATTCGTGCAAAACAGTGAAATAGATGAAATTATGACAGACCGTTGTAACTTATACCCGATATACCCACACACTCACATGCACACATCACGCATGTAGTAGGGTTAGAAATTGAGCTCGGAACAATTAGGAAGTCGGTCGTATCGTCACCTTCCGTACATGCGCTAAAACGCTGCTGCTGTCTTGTCTATATCTATATACAACAACGCATTAGCTCAGCGATCATCTATCTATCTGTCTCGCTCGGCCGTACGTGTCAACGGCACGACTCAGGTCCACCATTTGTATGTAAAATGCGCGTCTAGAGAGATCGTCGCATCATCTTATTTTAGTTTCCTAAATAGCATCTCGATATACAATCAGCTACTATCTTTTTTCTGGTCGGCCATAAGAGGTGTCGCATCACTAACGCCTCCCGGGGGGGTCACGCATAGTAGTACATACATACGCGAAACTTCAATTTGACCTTTATGTTTTTTTTTTTTTGTTTCAAATGCGTGACTGCGTACGCGTATAATATAAGTATCTTTTAACGAGTGAAAGCGCAGATACAAGTTCTCTCTCCCTCGACACTCGTTCACTGCCTATATAGCACGAGAACACCTGTGTACCTAATGACCGGAGAGAAAAACCTTTAAATCTCCAACATATCCACACATCGTCTTCGTCGTCGCTCCGTCTCTGTTTAACTTTTCGCGACGTTTCTCCGCACATCCCCGCGCTTATGTGTCATATTTCGGCATGGCGCACCGCGCGAGATCATATTGCCAAACACGCGCGCGTGTGTGAGTGCCGTGCGAGTTGTGTTATTGTAAGGAGAATGAAAATAGTGCATAGTAGCAGCGGCGGCTTATACTCTAAACAGTCATTCTTGATTCAAATTTTATAAGAGAATCATTTCATAATCTAATTCGTCGTTCCTTAACGTCGTCGTCATCTTCGGTGCACGAATCCTCGTGTTCACGCACGAGGCGTGAATTGTGAAAGTTTATCTATTTCTCTCGTTTCTCGATTCCAATAGGCCTATGTTTTATATAGTGCGTAGCGCATGTGCATACATGCGTGAGTGCTACTGCGCCTATTACATTGGTCATCGGACGCCTTATTCTTTAGTTTGATACGAGCTCGGACACATGTACGCTGCATCTTAATGTAGCTAGCGTTTTAACTCGATCAACGTGTCAGTTTTAGGTCTTAATGCCCGTACAAGTGTAAGAGTTTTTAAGGCTGGAATTCGCCGTTGCCAGAATTTTTTCTACTACGATCACTCACTTTCATCGCATAGTTCAAAGGATTGTGCACGATTACAACAAATTTTGGCTCTAGGTAAATACCTCTATCTATCTCCCTCTCACTCTATTCCTTCTACGTTCTACTTTTGACACTTTGCACTAGCACGTTATATCTATATATAACGTGTATCTTTTCTGAATGACATGTACGTGCCTTATTTACGCTTGGCGTTTCTGTACTAGGGTATTCGCGGTAGCATCAACAATTTTGTATATACAACACACACGAAACGGCTGAGGTAAAATTCGTTGGAATGGACGAGTAGTTACTACGACCTTGTTGAGGGCAAGAGTTTCATTCGGTACTTCGACAAGTGTCTCGAGTTTTTGTTGATTCGATCGATTGCATTTGAGGTTAGGCTGTGTTCATTATGCACTTTCATTACGCAGTTTTGACTCGCTCGTGATTCAAAGGTTGTCTCGTTGAAGTTTCATCTCATTTGATAGACTGAAACAGTAGCATTGTGTAAAACTATGATGCGATATTGTTAATAATAGGGATCAAAGTGTGAACTCGTTTTAGGTGTAAAATTCGGCGTCGATCGTAAGCAGTTCTTCATTCGTGCTTCTAGAACTTTTTTTTTTGGCTTTTCCGGTTTCCCGACTGCGTGAAACGTGTCATGCAATGGTTATAATCACGCTTAGTTAGTGGGATCCTGTATTTTCAAAAAACTTCTATTAGTGAACATTCTTTTATTAGTGCCATGCTTGAACGATTGTTTTAATTATCATTGCAACAATGGACGAGTTAGAATAAGGAGAAATAGAACCATGTTTGTAAAATGAAAATTTTCAAACCCTTTCAGATTCTTTTTTTGTAACAAAGAGAAGTTGAAATTTTTTATTTTCACATTGGTTTGAACATTTCCATAACTTTAGATAAGATTTGTATTTATTGATCGGTTGAAATGAATATTAATTAATATCTATTGTGTGTAGATGGCTGCCTCCAAACTATTACTGATGTACAGATTCAAAAGCAACAACGGTAGACATGTTCTAATGGAGGTTTTACCATGAAGGACCATTCATGGGTAAAAATTATTGATTTTTTCATCATACAAGTAACGCTTATATGAAAAAATATAATTTTCAATGTTCTTTCTTTCATTTGCGATGGATTCTTTTATTAAATACTTACTTTCTTATTAAATTGCATAATATTACATTAAATTAATCAAATTTTAATATTTTATTTCAGTCTTTTCAATTGCCGAGTTAATGTGAAAAAATTGCCAACACCATGAGTATGAATAGCTGCTCAATGGATAGTAAGCGCTCCTTTGGAGGGAGTCGCAAAAATTCAATATCATTGGATAAACCTTTACAAATGGAGAGCAGCAGCGGCAGTACAGTAAGCAATAAGCTACAACACAAAAAACAGCGTCAGAAGTCCAGGCTCAAGCCGCCAGTATCAAAACCACCGAATGCCATCCAGAAACCACCTGCAGGTCCCAAGATAAAACGACAGATTATAAATAAATTTCAACAGAGTGTGCATCTAGATAATAATAGAGTGTGTGTTGTGATACTCAAAAGGTTAGAAATTAAGAAAAGAAAAGATAGTTGTACAGGAGTAATTGATGCTAAACTAGAAGATGCCCTCAATATAAGCGACAGTAAGGAAATTAATGATATGGAAATAAGAAATAAAACCCTTGAAGAGCCAAAGGTATCTACAGTTTCAGATGTATCATTATTATCAAAAAATTCTGATCCAAAGATAACAAAATATCAAGCTGTTGTAAGGGTTGAAAGGTGTAAATTGAGCAACTATATTATTACTCAAAAATCACAAGTAAATAGAAATCGAAAATTTTCTATGAGTCAAGGTCATGATAAATCAGAAACATTTAGCAATAATGAATCTTTGAATAAAAATATTCAAGGTGAGCTTTGCTCAAAAAGTGGTAGCCATAATGAAAGAAGAACACGCAGTGTAGAAAAATTCAACTCATGCAACAAGGAAATCCGAAATGAACGTTCTATAAGTGTATCAGAACATGTGATGAATACAAACATTTTAAATAATGGTGAAGTGAATTGTGGTGATGTAGATACCAAAAAACTTAAGAATAATATAGAAAGTGTTAATAACTGCAGTGTTTTATCTACAAATGTGAGTGTTTCTAAAAATTTTGATACAAATAATGAAGAATCAAAAACAGAGTGCCCACATAGTGATAAGAAAATAAACAATAGTAAGCCTTTTGATAAAAATAACCGTTTACTAAATAGTTGTATTAGTGGTAACCGAACAACTAGACAAACTATTCTAAATAACAAAACAAATATAGATGATCAGTCAACAGTAAGTTCTTTAAATTCAAGTGTTTCTAATGAACCAGAAAAACAAACTACACTTAATGTTATAGCTAATAAAGTTCAAAGATTTAAAAAATTTATACAAAAAAAATTTAAACAAGATGACCAAAAGGAAAAATGTGACACTTTTCATAATTCTGATTGTAGTCAAAATTTAGAAATTAAAGAGCAGGTAGACAACACAACCGATGGTTCCTTAAAGAATATTTCTTTAGAACAAATTGATAATGCTAAATCTTCAACCATCAATGAAAATCATCGTCCACAAGCTGATTCTTGTCAAGACAATAGTGATGAGAAACAACAGGTTACTTTAAAGATATTTGATCCTTCATTAAATGTCCCTGCACTTTTGACAAATATTCATAGTGAAATAGAGGAATCTAAAGGCGATGAAAGTGCTACTGATAACTTTCTGTCTGATTCAATTAATGAAAAAGAATCTGAAGAAAGTAGTGCAGTAATAGTTGAAAATAAAATTATCACAAGACGTCATTCTGCAGAAATTATTAATAACCAGCAAGAAAAAAGTTCTGAAATTGGTGTCTCTGAAAATGTTGTCAAAGACAACAGCTTTACCAAAGACGATAAAATAGATAATTTATCTGAATCAAATGGAGATTTAGCTAAAAGTGATTGTAAGATTTTTGCAGATGATAGTTTACCTAATGATAGCATTGAAAAAATGAAAATTGTCACAGAACAACAAATAGTTCCACTGGTAAAAAATATTGAGACTGCTGAGCCAAAAATCTCTCCTAAGAAGCGAGGAAGGCCTCCTCGTTTGAATAATGTAGCAAATACATTAAAAATTAATATCAAATCTGGAGACAATGAAATCATAAAAACTTTTGAAAAAAATGCAATTGAAAATGATAGAACTGAGAGCATTACTGAAAACAATGAAGCAAACAAAAGTACCAGTGTAAATACCAGTGAAAATATTGTTAAAGTTGTTAAAAAGCGGGGCAGACCACCTTCTCTTCATAAACTTAAATTATTGAATAACACGCTCAATAAAAGTTCAGATGATTCTGTCACACCTAAGAAAAGAGGTAGAAAGAAGAAGATTTTTGCTTCAAGCGACCTGGACAATTCTCGCAAATCAGAGAGTGAAAACGAGTCATTAATTAACAAAAATTCAAATGCTCTACCGATTGGGGTGGACACAGACAAACCAAAACGTCGAGGAAGAAAACCCAAACATTTACTTGAGTATGAATCTTCGCATTTGTCTGATTCAACGTCCACAGAACAAGCCGAAGATACAGAGCCAGAAAAAGTCGTGAAAAAGAAACGAGGTCGTAAGCCATGGAAACATCTAATCTCTAAAAACAATGATGATAGAATTAACACAATTAAACCCAATGGTATTAGAAAAATAAAGAATGGATTTGTCGTGAAAAAATTGCAAAATCATCTCAAGTTGGTCAACGGGGTTGTTTTTCCAAAACGAAGAGGCCGTAAACCTCAGTGGCTGAAAGATCAAGAGGCTCGGCTGAGAGAACTGCAAGAAACAAATAAAGCTCCCAGTGCCGATGATAGTAAAACACGCTACGTCGGTGAAGCTCCACAGCTTCAAGCTCTACCGGAAAAAGGTATCAAAAAGCTGAAGCAACTGAAAAATTTGAAATTATCAAAGTACAACAAAATTTACAAAAACAAGTTGGTGCCTATCGCCGATAACGTTAACATCGTGAAGAGGAAACGAGGCCGGCCTCCGAAAAATCCTAGACCACCATCACCTCCATCAGCACCACCAGCACCCATTATTCTTGCTCCCGGGGAACGACCGGTCCTGAAATTGCCGCCGTATCTTCAAAAGCTCGCGGACTACAGAGACAGACAGCTGAAAAAGCAGGAGCAGCAGCGCGAACGCGAGCGCGCCAAATTGGCGAAGAAGCAGAAAAAGATCGCGGACAGTCGTCCCGAAGGTGCCTTCGAGAGCGCCTTTCTCAATTTTCTCCGTACCCAGCGCGAGGAGCGCGAGGACGACGACGAGAGCGACGATGACAGCGACGACGACAGTGATGCGACAGCCAACAGTCAACAATCGCACAGATTCAGAGCAAACGGTCGTCGCTACGACACGGACGACATGATCAACAACGACGTGTCCGAGTGCGTCGAGGATCTCGTGACGACCGTGGCCGGAGATCAAGCCGAGATGGCCAGGAGGCAGGATCGCATCAACAAGATCACGTTCCCCTCGGAGATCGTGACGAGTACCCACGTATCTGACATCTTCGCCGAGACGGCGATAATCTTGGAAAAGATGGGCCCGGACACGAGCGAGTCGATGACCAACAGCGAGGATTCGGCATCACAGGAGGTCGTCAAGGATCGTCATCACAAACTGTTGCTCGGCCTCAAGAAGAAGTGCGAGGAGAATCTTACCAAGCGTCAAGAGCAGGACGACGCTTACAACTCGGGCATGTCCGACGACACGGATAGCGATCAGAATCTTGCCGATCGCTTGACGACGTTGGGCCAGGAAGACGGCGTGGATGCCGTGAGCCCTCTAGTCCAAGATCACGAGCGCAATTTCGACGACAAACTGTCGAAATCGGCCGATCTCAGCAAACTCCGCGAGCATCGTATCGTCATGAGGATCTCGAGGACGTCCGACAACATGCACATAATCGCGCCGAGCAATATCTCGCTCATGCCGATGCGCGACGAAATCGAGGCGGACGAGGAGGAAGAAAATCTGATAGCGATCGATCCGTCCCAGCTGTATCCGGATCAGTTGCCACCCACGGCCAACGGAGATCTGAATAAGTTCATGGGCAACGATCTGAACAGCGTGCAGCCCCTGAAGGAGGTGAAAATTACCCCGAAGGGATCGGATCATGGTTACGGCAGCTCGAATCGCGTGCCCAGCGAGTCGCCCGCGAGCTCGTCGGGCGGCAACAGCAGCACCAGGCTGGCCGACGTCGACGAGTCGCTCAAACCAAGGAAGCGCGGCAGACCAAGGAAGTATCCGATCTTCACCGAATCCGAGCTCATGGCCAAGCAGATGGCAGCAGCCGCGTCGTCGACCATGAGCTCCACAACCGTCGTCAGCCAACAGCAACAAGTCCCTCCGCAACATCTGCAACAACAGCAGCAGCAGCAACAACAGCCAACGCTCATCGGACCAGCGCAAATAGTCTTCACCGTGAGTCCAGCGCCGAATACCTCGGATCCACCACCGTTAGTGCCAATCGAGTCCAGTGCGCAGATTTTGTTCAACGGCGCGCCGAGGCTGCCGTCGCCTGGGCGAGATCAGCCGCTCTTCGAGCCCGTCGAGTCCATAGTAGTTCAGCCAAAGTCGACGAAAATTTCCAGCACCACCACAGAAGCCTTGAAAGCTTTTCGCAAGCGCAAGCGCGAGGATCCGACTGCCGCCGCAACATCGACCACGACGACGTCAACGTCCGCGTCCTCCGCAACGACGTCGAGTAGTAATCCAAATGTGCCTTCTATCCTTGCCGAGTTCGTGAAAACGAGACAAAATGCCTTGGCCAATGAAATGTCTGCCAACGAACGGATGAACGGTGAACTGCACACAGCGACTTTCGATCAGCAAGCCGATAAGAGGCGTCGATTGTCCGAGGGTTCCGAGGACAGTAACAAGTACGGCATTACCAAGGAGTTGGTAGTCCAGCTGAGAAAAATCGACGAGACCGACCAGTTGCAACAAGCCGCGGTCGTCGCACCGCAACCACGACCAAAGGCTAAACCTCGTATTCTGCACGAGGAGTATTACAAACCACCATTGGACCATTGCAAGCTAGCATTGGAGCACAACAATAATCACAGAAAGAACGGACAGAATTCGAACGTTGTTTTGTCTCACGCTCTGCCAATAAATCCTCAATTATTGAGCTCCGAAAGTCCGCAAGCTCAAGCGATGTCAGCGGCGAAAGCTTCGGCTCAGCCGTTACTGATGGTCGTGCCACCCACTCAGTCAGCTCAGCAGCAACAGGTGGCCGCACCGGTCCAGGCTACGGCCCAAGTTCAAGCTCAAGCCCAAGGGCTACCGCCGCCGCAACAGTTCTGCATACTGTTCATTCCCGACACCATGTACAATTCCGAGACGAGCTTGAGCAAGGACGCGCAGCCCACGGCTACTCTGGTGAACTTTCAGCCGGTGCCCGACGCCGAGATGCCCACTGCCAATAAGCAACAGCTGATCTTCAATTCGCCAACGCCGACGACGCCGACCATAGGTATGAACGGCTTCATCAATTCCGCGCCGACGAAAGTGGCAAAGTCATTGGAACAGACAACGTCGCCGACGAAAGGTTCGTACACGTGCAATATCTGCGTCGAGCTCGTGGAAGTTCTGAGCCGATTAGAGAGCGATCTTAGCATGGAGGAAGACAAGACCAACATTTGCTGTCCGTACTGCTCGATCACGTGCCATCCGATGATTCGCATGGAGCACCATCTCACGCAGGAGCACCTGAGGTGCGAGAACGACCAGCAGTGCCAGTACTCGATCGGCAGTCGGGCGCGCATGGCCCAGCACAACCTGTCGCCCGATCGCACGACGTACTTCCAGGCGTCGCTCAAGTGCCGCAGCTGCTACCTCGTCCACGGCAGCGTGCAGGAGTTAAACGAGCACGTCAAGCAGAAGCACAAGATCCTCGTGCGCTTCAACAACGGATTCAATCGTCATCTGCTGATGCAGTGTCCGGCCGACTGCGTGTGCCGAGTGGGCTTGCGACAGGGCGCCAGTTCGCAGCAGCGCCAGGCCATGATCAAGCGCTGTCCCAACGCGATGCGTCGCCTCGAGAAGGTCGAATCGGCCGGCTACGAGGTATACTCCTGCACGATCTGTCAAAACACGTACATGCACAAGATGGAGGTGATCGAGCACCTGCAGACCACCCACACCGTGGCCTGCAAGTTTACGTGCCCGAGGTGCCTCTTCTGCTTCCGTACTCGCCACCTGCTCGACGTTCATCAGTGCTGCGGCATCACCATAGCCGGCAAGGAGAAGCTCCTGAACGTGGCCATTCTGCCGGTCAACGTTGCTGCCGCCGTGCAAGAGCAGGACAAAGAGCTGGAACAGCTGCAGGCCGCCGCCGCTGCGGCCGCGGCCGCTTCCTCGGGTAAGAACGGCATGCGACGTCGCAATGGCGTCAATGGCCAAGTGCTCGAAGCCGCCAAACGACCGAAGATCATCAACATGATCGGTGGCAAGCATCGAAAGCGCGCCTGTCCCAAGTGCCAGAAGCGCATCGCGTACAGAAAGAGCCTGCACGATCACATCGCCGACCATCTGGCGCACGTCGAAAAGGGACCGCGATTACTGGCTCTCGAGCTGCTTAAGATGTACATCGACGGCCTGACCGACATGCCAAGGCTGGAGGAGCTGAGAAAGATGCTGATGGGACATTACGACAACGACGGTATGTCCCTCGTCGAGATAGTTACCATTGAAGAAGAAGAACTCACGCCGGAGGAGAAGATTGCACTTGAGAGGGAGGAGGCGCGAGAGGCAGCGGCCGTCGCCAATATTCAGTCGGGACGAGAAGAGACAGTCGAGTGCTCGAAGTGTAGATCAAACTTCAAACGACCCGTGTCGATCGGTAAGTGATCATAATTTTTCAAAAAAATTATAAAGTGATTTTAATATAATATTACTAATTTTTTCACCCGTAACAGATGCTATGAAGTATTTTTTTTTTAAATTCTACGAAAAAAAAAACAAAACAAAATTTTTACACGATTTTTTGACTTTTCGCAGATCCTTACATTCGCTCATCATTGAGACAGTTACCGGACCCTCTCTGTGAGGTATGTGATCCACTACCAAAAACTCGAGGTCGCAAGGCAGCGGCGTTGAACTCATCGCAGCAACAGCAGCATCAGTCGTTGAGCAATTCTCCAACAACTACGGACAACGGACCCTACGCGTGCGGTGGCTGCACGGAACAATTCACGAGCGCGACTGACATGGAGGCGCACTGTCGCCTCACCTTCCACTCGACCGCCCACACCATCTACGTCTGCGAGCAGTGCAAGCGTTGCTTCTCGACGAGCGAAACGTTGGAGTTGCACAAAGCCAGCCACGAGACGACGGAGACCAGCTCGTCCGAGATCATCGCTGCCGTCGAGAGTATCGCCGATCACGAGGACCAAAGCGCCGCCTCGGTCTCGCTCAACAGAGAGGACTCTCTCAACGATTTGAGCAAATTGCAGGATCTGTCGGACAATCGGGAGTCGCAAGAGGAGGATTTTAAATTGCTCGAGTGTTTCATCTGTCACGAGCTTTGCTCGTCCTCAGTCAGCTTGAAGAATCACCTGAAACGCGAGCACGGCCGGAAAGCTTTCATCTGTTTGTGCTGCAATGAACTGATCGTCGATGTCACCGAAATACGTCACATGATAGACGCGCACATAAAATCTAATTTTAAATCACACTTAATGTTTGACGACAAGACTGAAGAACAAGCGCAACAGCAGTTAGAAGCTCAACTCCTCAGTAACGTTACATCCGAGGAAGAAGTCACGCTCAAAGATGTCGAAGAACTTGTGCAGTTGCTGGGCAAAGAGCGATTACAATCTCTCATGGTTTATCATGATTTCGAGGGAAAATCCTGTAACGCAGTGATGTGCTGTCACATTTGTCCAAATTACTTGGCCAGTCGCGATACTTGCCGTTATCACTACGTCTGGGAGCACGATATCACCTGTCTCCTATGTGACGAAGAATTCCGATTAAAAGAGAGCGGTTATCAACACAAAGTTACGAAGCACACATCCATCTCCGGCTACTTGTGGTGCATTCAGCGTCTATGTTCGTCCATCATCACGGGACTAAATCTCGATCCATCGCTACCTTCACATTCCCTGGCTCAGATGGTATTGTCTAAAGTCAACTTCATGGACATCAACGCACCATTTTCGGAAATAAATTTGTTACCCACAACGATGGACCTCACTAGTGATAAATCCGACACAGTCAGCGAATCTCTGGTGGTTCTCAGCGAAGACCAACTTCCCGATTCTGGTAACGTCATCGAAGTCACTGTAGGTAGAGATGAATCGGACGATGAATTGTTAAACATGCTCAGTCTATCGCCGAACTACGAGACCTGTACAAACAATCGAGGAATCGAAAATCCTATGGTTGATCAAATCCAAGCGACGCCACCTCAGACTCCAATACCTTCCGCACAAGTTCCCAGCAGTCCTCTAGTCGATACGTATCTGTCTACGGGGGTCTGCAAGTACAAACCCGCGAATGGAACGGGCGAAGAATCCGAAGTGCTTGTCGTTACCGATGAAGATCTTGTAAAATACAAAAACGACATCGACGCTTTATGCTCGAGAATATGCAATGAGCACGCAACCTTTGGGTGGCTCGAGACCAGAGAATTGCTGACTAAATATTTCCGTGAGAAAGAACGAGAAACTTTGGCAAAGCTCGCAGCGCCAATCGACAGCACAAATAACATTATTACTGAATCTTCAGATAGTCTTACTGAGACTGACCAAGTCTTGACGATAAACAACAAAGTTATTCGATAAGTGTTTAGATTTATATAAAAAAGAGATACTTTACTGAAAAATTCGAGGCATAGTCTTTCTGTATAGTGCAAGAAATTAGTGTACAAACCTTAAGAAAAATGTGTATTAAAAGACATGCTCGAGTCCTGTATATTGTATGAATTCTTCATTATTTATAATGTAATTTTAATGTAAAATGAATAAGTAGAAAATAGTTATCAAATCAACAGTGATAATGGTTGACGATACCCAAACTCTGTACCAACCCGCAAACATATTTCTATTTAAATAAAATAAAGAAATATAAGTATTATATGCGTTGATACATATAATTACGTTTATGAAAAATGTATAATAGTCATTTCTATATTGGTATCATTAAATATGTTTGTTCAACAGAGCGCATATAAAGAAAACAACTGCAAATTATTAAATACGATGAAAGTTATACATTTTTGTTTTTTTTGTACTTTTATGATTAAATTTACATGAAAATTATTTTTCACACACTTGGGCAGTTAACTTATTGATCATGATCTCGTTGACCCAGTAGATTTTTAAAGGTCGGGGTCGTAATTTAATATTATAAAAAAAAAGAAAGAAAAAAGGAAAATAATACAGTCGAAGGTTCATTGTTTTTTTATGTAAAATGTGATTACTTTGGACACGAGTATAGTTATTATTTAAGGATGAAAATCGAAATATATCGTTTAAAGTTGATGCAATGATGAACAAAGTGATGTAAAGTAGTAATAAGAAATTACCGCAGAGCCATGACCAGCGTAACTTTGACTCGAATATAAATGAAAAGTAACGCTAGTCCTTAGCTAAATTTAAACTTTCGACTGTGTAAAAGCGTATTTCTTATAAACCTTACTAACTATTTGGCTTGTAAAATATGCTTAATATTATAATGAATATTATGTATTTGAGAAAGTAAATTGCATGTTTTATACGATCCGATAATGTCATATATTGTATTTACTGTATTTAAAATTTAATATAAGAGAGTCTAATCGAGGCCAAGATTTTAATAAGATGAATCTCCGCGACTTTATACATATTGGTTGGTTGTGGTTAATTAAATCACAATGATAACCAAAGCTCATAGTCAAACAACTATAAGGCATTTGATTATCATTTTAAGAAAATTAATACAAAAGTATATTGTATTTTATAAATATGTATAGAATCGTTGGATCTTGTAAAATGATTGTAGTTTACTTGTTTTAATTGCATATAAAAGTTAGCCTTGACTGAAAACTCAATTGAAACAATTTAAATTGTTTGTCTAGTGTATTTTAAGGAAAAAATTGTTATTAAAAAGTTTACTCTAAGTGAAAAGAGAAACATTTCATTTGATTCTTCAGATAGGCCAACAAGTCAGTATTTACTTTTCTTTACTTTTTATAATTTAGTTTCTTATCTTCTTTTTATCTCAGTTGGTTATTTATTTATTGTTTTGTTTTGATTATTAATAGATAGATATACATATGAAAAGGCTAAGTTAATTTTTATTTGAATCAAAATTTATTCTTTGCTCAAACAAAGAAGCTTTTGCTACATGAAATAATGAATAAAAGTCATCAGAGAATCATTTCATTTGATTTGCAATATTTTATTCGAGATCTATCAATACAAAAAAAATTATTAAAATTAATGTGATCAGTTAAGCTATGTAAAAATATTGATGAAAAAGATATAACTAAAATTAAATTATAATTAAATTATAAATGAACGAAAATAATTACAGAAACAGAGTTGATACAAGTGTGTATTAGACTACTTAGATAAATAATAGAGCTTTCATACGATAAAGATCGTTACGTTTTTTTGTTAAAAGTTTGACAATTTTTATATAAAGAAAAGTCACGTTGCAAAAAGTTTAAATCAATTGCCAGAAAATTTATAACCAGAAGAAAACTTAATGTATAATGAGAGTAAAAAGTCATAATTCACACCTGCGATTTGTAATGATATGCATTCTGTAACATTTTATTGATCATCGAGAATAAAAGAAAAAAACAACACGTATTTCATAAAAAAAATCCAATGCTCTCGTCATTTACGATCCTAATCCTCCATGAATTTTCATTTCAGCATAATTACGTCGCGTCCGATATTTTTTCACCCCAAGGCCGATCGGCATTACGTATACTTGCTGCATATAAAATCGTCTGGAGAATCGAACGGAAATTTCATATGCATCGGCAGTTCGTCATAACACGCATACACAATCGGATAAGCGCGCAAAACGTCTGCAGAGATCGACTCGTAATCGCAGACATACAAACACACACATGTGCAAAAATCGCGACTATTAATAATATAGAGAAGCTTACTCGACTGGCTAATATACCGTAGCATCACATGCTTTGAGTTGAGTATTCGCGTATGTGTTGGTGCGCATTGGTTCAAGTCTGCGACGCCGCCGCCGCGACATAATATTTTTTTGCAGAAGCAGACTGCCAGATCTCGAGCAGTTTTGCGCTACATACGTATAGAGATAGGTCAGTACTAGAAATTTTTGTATTTATGTAGGCTCGAGTGCTTACATAATTATATATTTCGCACTTATCGCCATACGATAAACGAGATAGACGTGCTTATTTTTATTTTAACCATTTTGCGAATATTATATTCTCGATCTTCGCATTGTAGAAAGTCCAGCGACTACGGCAAATTGGCAGATTGTGGAGTGCGTATAACCTTAATCGAACGGAATTCAAGTGGCAATTGAGCAGCCGTCGAGTTAATTTCAGCAGCAAAATGTCAGGCCTTGTCGCAAAAAATCTGCCCAGATTTCATCACATAGCACCACCAGGTACGTGAATGAATTTTCCAATCGTTTGCCCTTGTGCGGCTGTATTGGACAGTAAGATATCCCAATTGTCCTCGCTGTATCAGGCATCTCGTTCGAAAATAATTGAAAAAGTGATTAATCATCGTGAAGTAGCAATAGCGCGTCATGCATATTTTCTATTAACAACAATATCGATGTCTCGAGTTTTGTTCATTTGTTGAGCTTTCTATTGAAACGCAACAATCACGATCTATCGATTGCTCTTCATTGTTTATTCACGCCAAAAAATCGATTTCTGCAAATTAACGTGATGTTATTTTTCAGCTGCTTGCGTCTGGGAACCGTCTCGCTTCAATCGCAAGTCTTACGCCACGGCCGTATCAAAGCCATCGCCGCAAGGAGGCAAAAATATTGTTTACATCGACGGAGTGAGAACTCCATTTTTAGTATCGAATACCGATTACAGCAAGCTCACGGCTCATGACTTGGCTAGAGAAACTTTGGTGTGAGTTACTGTCTAATCGTCGTTTTAAAGGATTTTTGTACTTGATAGATTTACGACAATTCTTTGACTTTTTTACAGAAATTTGCAGAAGAAAACCGGCATCCCGACCGACGCTATTGATTATGTTTGCTATGGAACTGTTATGCAAGAAGTACGCACTTCTAATATTGCCAGAGAGGCTGCTTTATCAGCTGGATACAGCGAACATACTCCAGCTCATACTGTCACAATGGCATGTATTAGCAGTAATGTAGCCCTTACCACTGGTATTGGTCTGATAAACTCTGGTATTTACGATACAATAGTTGCTGGTGGAGTTGAGTTTATGTCTGATATTCCAATCAGACACAGCAGAGCTATGAGATCCTTGATGCTGAGAGCTAACAAAGCTAAAACTCCAATGCAAAAACTGTCTCTACTTGCCACGATAAGACCTGGACACTTTGTTCCTGATGTAAGTTTACAAAAATTTAATATATTTTGGAATTATATCTAAACTAAAAACCAATCTTTATTGTGTAGTTGCCAGCTGTAGCTGAATTTTCAACGAATGAGACTATGGGACATAGTGGAGATCGATTGGCTGCAGCATTCAATGTTTCACGCCAAGAGCAAGATGATTATGCTTTACGCTCTCATACTTTAGCTGCTAAAGCCCATCAAGATGGTCATCTTACCGACATGATCCCATTTGTGGGTGAGTTGACTTAATAATAAAAATAACAGAATTAAATAATCTTTGAATTTCAATATTTTAAATTTAATTTAATTTGATTATTTAGTTCCTGGGCTAAAAAATGTAGTAGACAAAGATAATGGAGTAAGAGTCTCAACAAAAGAACAATTGGCTAAGTTGAAACCAGCTTTTGTAAAACCTTACGGAACAGTCACAGCAGCTAATGCTTCTTATTTGACTGATGGAGCTTCAGCTGGATTAATCATGACTGAGGACAAAGCTAAACAGCTTGGTTTAAAACCTAAAGCTTTCATGAGAGCATTCACATATGTTTCTCAAGATCCAAAGGATCAACTTCTTCTTGGACCTGCTTATGCTATTCCAAAAGTAAAAATCATTTTTTTCCCTGATTCTCATATTATTACTTTTATGATATGCAATAACAATAATTGATGTATTTTTTATAGCTTTTAGACAGAGCTGGTCTTTCTTTGAAAGATATTGGAGTTTGGGAGGTTCATGAAGCTTTTGCTGCTCAGATTTTAGCCAATTTGAAGGCTTTAGATTCTGATTATTTTGCTAAAACTTACCTTAAGCGTTCAAGTAAAGTAGGTACTCCAGACATGAGTAAGTGGAATACATGGGGAGGTTCACTTTCTCTTGGACATCCATTTGCTGCTACAGGCATTAGATTAGCAACACATACTGCTAATAGAATGATCAAGGAAAATCAACAATTTGGTTTAATCGCTGCATGTGCTGCTGGTGGACAGGTAAATACTAGCGAATTTGGAAATTCATTCTTTCTGTTTTTATTTCATACCAATTTTGATAACTATTTATTCATTTTTCAGGGAATCGCCATGCTAATGGAAAGACACCCCGATGCCAAAATTTAAATGGGAGTAATTACATGAATTGTATCAATGTTATTATCTATTACATAAGAGTGTTATAAGCAGTAGTTTGTCTATCAATATCGCATTTGTTCTTTGCTTTTTATACAAGGATTTATATATATTTTTATAAATTTGAACCAGAATTTTATATATAAATATATTATTTACTAAAAAGAAACATATTTTCTGTCAATGTTTTTGATTGTACATGACCAAAATAGAAAAATTTATTAACCACAGTATTGAAAAGAGTTCAACATTTTTTCGTCAATTACTACGTAAATACACGTATAACAAATGAATAATAAAAATGAAACGTTAGCAATATATGTATAGAAAATTAAACATTATTTTTAAATATAATAATAAACAAAAAGCTAAACTACAAAGTTTTAATTGTTATAAAGTTTCTTTGTTAATCTAAATACTTCGGTTAATTCTTGCAGAGTGACTTTTTAAATTTCGTTTTGTCTGATAATTCTGTATTTTGTAGTATGTACATTCTGTATTGTAAATTCATTTCAATTTTAAACATTTAAATCTCGAACAAAACTTCAGAATATTTAGTCATTTACTCTTGTTCATCGAAAAGAAGATGATAAAGATTCATGAAATTCCTAGTGATACATACAGGTCAATAGAGCACCGCTACGAATAAAACCGAATGAGCAGGCAAAACTTATGAGTTAAACCCCTCGGTTACTTTTTATTGGAATTTTGTTAAATACCACATCGTTATTATAAAAACTTTTCGTGAAGATGCAAAAGAAGTAATTTTCTTTTCTCTCGACAATGTTTATCGTCCAGAATCATCAGATAACACGATAAGACTACATTTCTCTACACCATCTCAACGCCTCTTACGAAAAGTAGGAAGTTTACGTGTTAAGTTAAATGTAAACTTCCTACTTTTCGTAAAAAGCGTCGATCTGATCTCGACGATATTTTTCACAAATCTAAAAAAGGTCAAAATCAAAATGCGATTAGACTTCGGAATTACAGTACTACATTCTTTTAAGTATTTAACTCTTATAAAATTGATAAATTTTCATTTACCGAAAGTGCCGGTTTTTTCGCTTTGAAAAAACATTTACTGAAAGAAATAATTATTTTTGTCTGAATACCAACAACTTTTCAAACCTTTTTGGGATGGACATCGATAAAATGTTAATAACAATCTTAAAGAAAAGAATTAGCTGTCAATATTATTTAACACCACCACCATGGTAGATCATCCGATTTTGCGCTCGAATGACCAATCGGCCTCGTTCACTTACCTCAGTTGTCAATGGTCAATTCTGCTCCTTTATCAATAGTAAAAATACCATAAAATTAATCAACGTTACTTTGCTGACCAGATTGTATTATCACAAATATCAGCTACAACTACAATTTTTTCACTACCGTAGAAAAAAACCGTAATTTCATCGAAAAAAATTATGACAAAAATTACTAACAAAATAATCCCCTGCTATTTCATTGCCAAAGAACTTCTTTCTGGAAATAAGTTCGTTTTTATTTTAAAATATATGTAAAAAGTGTTTAAAAAATTATTTACAAACAGAAATTCAAGTGTTGCGAAAAATTTACTTTAATTTATATAAAAAATATAAATATGTGATAAATTTAACAACTGAGTAATTTTACAATTGAGTCTTTTGATTACCTTGAACAAGTAAGGTTTTATTGTGTACAGTCGTGAGTTAATTGTAAAAAAAATATAAACTTTTTATATTGCATTCTATTCATATCACATTTACATTCAATTTTTTATTCTACTATTATACAAGGTATGCATTCAACATCATCCACGTCGATCTTCACTCCATTTTCATCATAGTATAATTCGAATGCGCTTTTGAAGATGTCCACTAATTTATTTCCATTTTTAACTTTTAAACCTCGAACAAACGACCCAATATCGACTTGGTTTTGGATCAAAACTTCAGCATACCTCGTCATTTTCCTTTGTTCATCAAAGAAAAGATAATATAGATTCATAAAGTTCCTAGCAGCATTCGGTCCTGATTTTCTTAGTAGTGATATTATATCGGGTACAGTGAAACCAATTCCTAGCAAAGATTTTAGGTAGACTGATTCTGTTGGCTTAGATATGCTTCCGAACATACATTTAAATAGATTCACAAACGGCTTCCTCATTGCAACTGAAACGCCAATCAACATTCTATGTATAGTCGCAAAATCTACACCATAATTTTCTAACGTTAACAAATAGTTTTTTTTGCTGCCATCTGACTTATTGAACCACAAAGCATATAAATTTTTTATCAAAAGTATAAATGTTCCTCGAGTTTTAAAAATGATCTTAGAGACACTCTTGATTATAGATGGGTTGTTGAGATAATTTGTTATGTATGAGCTTGGATTTCCTTCAGGATCAAAAAACAGTTTGTAAAGTGAAATAAATAATGTACTGGCATATCCACCACGATCTCTTAAAATGTCACAAATTAAATCGATGTCAAAATTATTTTTTTCCATTGTAAGTAAGAAATGAGTTTTTTCGCCTGAATCGTCAAACCAACAATTAAACAATTTGGGAAAACAGCTCGTAAAACTCATACCCCCACGTGGAAAGATATTCTGTAATTTTTTTAAATCCACGTATTTTATCATAGTTTGTAAAATAAGACTGGCACGTCCGTCTTCGTCTATGAATAATTTATGTGTTCCTTTGAATGCTTCACATACATAAATGCCTGCTCCTCTTAAAATCTGACACAGCCAATTTAACGTTATTCCATTCCTTTCTAAATCTTGTAAATATTGAGTTTCTTTAAAGTCTTCATCAAACCATAATTCAAACAACATTTTGAAATATAACGGAGTGTTTGAGCTACATGAAAGAAATATATTACATACATCAAAAAGACATACATTTTTCTTCTCCAATATTTGTAGTATTTCACTATCTTGACCTTTTTCATCAAAGAAAAAATCGTGAAAAATTTGAATTCCTTTACTTCTAGACTTAGTAAAAAGAAGTGATAGCAATTCAAAATCAACTCCTTTATTTTCAAAATTGTACAAAAGTTGAGTTTTATTTCCTTCCTTATCAAAAAACATATAAAAGACACGATTAATATACTTGACATGATCAATAGCAGTACCGTGAAGAAATCTCAAAAAATCATCTACACTGATTTCATATTTGTTTAAAGTGCTTAAATGGAATGATTCCGTACCATTTTCATCTATAAGAAACTCATATAATGCTTTAAAAAAACTAACTGTTCCACTATGAGCATTTTGTAAATATTTCAAAATTCTAATAAGGTCTATGTTGACATTTTCAAAATGTTTAATGTAGTAACTTTTATTGCCATTATCATCAAACCATAGCTCAAAAAGATCTTTTAAAAGCTTGGTAGCATGAATGTTTGAATTTCGTATCATTTTTGCTAAATGTTTGACGTTTATGCCATAATTCTCAAAAGTTTTCAAAAATTGTGTTTTTTGTCCTTCTGCATCGAATAATAAGTTATACAAATCCTTGAAAATTGTAGATGCCTTGACTGGCTGTCCCCAAAGAATCCAAGAAATATCATCAATATTAATGTTGTGATTATCAAAAGTTTCCAAATATTTTGTTTTATTGCCATCTTTATCAAAAAACAGATTGCAAAATTCATTTAACACTTGTAAAATATTAGTTCTAGAACCTTGCAACAATTTAGATATTGTAGTGAATTTAATTCCTGCATTATTTAGATTTTGAAGATTCTGAGTGGGATTACCATCTTTATCAAAAAATGAATAATACAATTTTTTATATAAAACAACAGCTTGAGTTTTAGTTTCGTATATGACTGGTATAAACTTGTGAAAATCAATATTATACTTTTGTAAAGTTAAAAGATACTTGGTCTTATTTCCTTCTGCATCAAACCACAAGTCGTGTAGATCTTTGATAGTTTGTGCAGCACTTATTCCACCACCAAGTGCAATATAAGCTATTTTAGAAAGACGTAAATTATTTTTTTGAAAATTTATCGTATACTTTGTTTGGTTACCTTGTTCATCAAACAATAAATTGTAAATATTTTCATGCGCTAATCGAGTGTCATAACCAGAGCCCTTGATCATAGCTCCCAATATAGAAAAATTTATTCCTACTCTTTCCAGACAATACAAATACTTAGTTTTATTGCCATAATTATCAAACCATAAATCATATAGACTCATAATAATACTAACTGCTCTAATATTAGCACGTACAGCCATATATAAGACTGTCTTAATACTCATATGGTTTTTTTCCAATAGTAAAAAATTTTTGGTTTTATTTCCTTTTTCATCAAACCAAAATTTGTGTATTGCTTCAATAGCACTATAGAAGTTATACTTAGTTACACTATCCATGACATTGCCTAGACTTTTTAAATCAATTCCAGCGTTTTTAAAATTTTGGGTAATTTCTTTTCCTTTACCATTTGTTAAATAATAAAATATTTCATTTCTTAGATTAGGCATGAAGCGGCTAAGAGACTTGGACAGTTTCCACTCATCTAAAAGCTTCAAATAATTCAAGTTTAAGCAACTTGATCTACTATTTTCTATATCACTTAAAATAAGCCTCATACTTCTTGGTGTCATTATTTGATGCTTCTGATATTCTATCCATCGTAATGTTACTTCTTGTAACTGGTCAAAAGTGTAAGGAAGTTGCTGCTGTTCATTTTGGAGGGGAATATCTGTAATTTTTTTTTGTCCGGTAGCAATGATAAGAGTATGCAAAAATAATAATTTCATTTTGTTTTCTTCCTCTGCATCTATCTCTTGTTCATTACTATTTGGAGGATTGAACAATTCCAAAAGAGTATCTAAATCTTTAGATGCAAACTCAAATAACATTGATTCATTTAAATTGGCGCAATTTTTAAATATTTTGTACCTTTTTTTAGTTACATCTATTTTGTTCAATTTCAATGGAAAGTATTTCTCAGATTTGTTATTTTGAATTTGATTATTATTGGTCAAATTCAACTCTGAATTAGTGTAAATAATAAAAAATTTGATGTTTGAATTTTTTCTGTACTCATTACAGAAAAAAGTGTATAAGTCATCCAATGAAAAATTACTTTTCTCTCTCTTTTTCTTAGGGAAAAAATCATCAAATGTGATCCTTGCATTATTAGCAGAGCCTACGTTTATCAGATATGTAATTTTTTTTTTATACAAAATATTAATTACATTGCTAGTGTGATAACTTTTTGTACTTACTGCTGATATATTCATATGAACAAACATATCATTCAATATAGACATTAATAATTGAAAATTTTCATTGCTGATACTCTTTTTAGCTATCGAGGTATATTTTATCAGTCTGTTTTGTAACTTTAAGTAATCTTTTTCATTTTTTTCAATTTCATCCTTTAATTTTATTTTCAAACTTTCTCTGCAAGGTTGATTATCCAAAAATATAATCTTATTTAGGAAGCTTTTTTTCAAGTCTTCTTCGAACTCTGAAGTTAAAAATTTCTTATTAAACATCTTTTTATTTGTACTTGACAACATCAAACGCTGACAGAACTGGTCAATGGTTAGATCATCAGTCGCAAATTTATAAAATTTACATGAAGTGTTTGTTACTAACATATCTTGAAGCACCGGAATTTGACATATATCGACACTTTCAAATTGAAATGGGTAAGAATTTTTCGAACTGCACATGGTCAACTTATTGTCCTCCGATAATTCCAATTTGTCGTTACAAAATACGACGAGATACTTAATTTTCGAAGTTTGGTACTTTGGCTTATTGAGCTCATAACTGACCCAACTATTGAAATAATTTTTCAGAGAATACGGACTTTTTATCCCAAACAAATCGAGGTATGTGATAAACTTGTCGGAAAATAGACTTACGGTGTAGTTTACGTTCACGTGAATGGACTCGTCATTCTGCCTAATAACTATATCGGAAAACTTGTCAACATCTTTGTTGTCTAATGTCAATCCAACTCCATCCAACTTTTTATTTTCGACTCGTCTCTTCAGGTAACACCAAGTTGAGACGTCTAGTTTATACATGTACAGCAATATTTGTTGTGTACAGTAGTCACAACTCCCCGCGGCTGGCATGAGACTTTCAGCTTCATATTGCAATTTTAGTAGATTGTCATTTTCGGATGTTTCAACTTCATTCGAATCATGTAAACATGGTTGTTTGGTACTAGTCGCTTCATCCACTATTTCCACGGACTCGCTACGTTGCCGTTTTCTGCTCTCTTTCAACATTTCGACTCACAAACTCATCGACAAACTGTCATTCGGTGGATCCTTTTCGATTAGTTTTCAAATAAAAACTTGTTCGATGCATCTAACGTTTACCAACACGGTCAAACTTTTACGGAACTGATGCCGGTACGAGCCACGCGGAGTAGCACGTGGGATACTGAAATCAATGAGCAGACTGCAGACCAAGAATTGATAAGTCCATCGCGCTGCCGCGGCCCGCGCTAAACACTTTTGAAAAAAGTAGATGAGAACACGCATGCGTGACGCCATGCTGATACGGCCTGGTGATACCGTGAATAGCTTTTGCTACCCCCAGATACGAAATTAAAATTCACGACAAGGATTATTACGGAAAAATTAAAGTTCAACGATTGATTAGTTTATTCGTGATATCAAGTAATGAAATGTTAAATAATTGGACATAATGAAAAAGTTTTTTTTTCTAATGGGTATGTTGTTTTTATTAAAAATTGCATGTCTATAGAATCACAACTTTACGAGTAAATGAACAAAAAATCTTGGTAATTTGTAGACAATTGAACCCACGGCGAAATTATATTTCGATAAAATTTCGACAATTTAACAAATAAAATTTTTTTTTATGTTCGAACATATTCTACATAGTAGTTCCTAAATTTGATTGATATTTGAATTTATGTGCATGCGATGCAAATTTAATTATGCACTTGATAAAAGAAGCAACATTGATACATGAAGCAAACAAATGTAAATTTCATTTAAAAAAAAATTTTTTTTTGCGTTTTTCTTTCATTTTTGTAACTAATTTGCATGGAGTATTTCAAGTTTACATGATTAACTTTAAACTTCTTTCTATTGAAAATGATCTAATATTATTAGAAATCGGTAATTGGTATTTCAAAAAAGATTTATTGATAAATACAAGAATCTAAATACCTGGAAATACCTAATGAATGCGAATTATCAATATTATGCAACAGAGACTTTCTTTGGTTATAATATTGATCATTGAAACTTTAAGATTTAAGATTATTTAATTTTAACTTTATTTCAATGATCATAAATGTGAATCTAAATTCATTTTCCTTTTTTTATTAAGACAACGTGCAAGTTAGAAAGTAATCTGATAAAGAGTACAGAATTCATTGAGCTTAGTTTTCAAATTGCATCTTAATCATTAAACTACTATGAAGTACAGGTAACTTTGATTTACCATGTAACTTCAGGGAAGTACATTTCTTTTTCTCACTACAGCATTTTTTCATTAACAAATTTGATATAAAGTTTTTACTTCATTTTACTATGGACTAAACTACATTATAAGTCTTGATCTATTTTTCTCTAGATCTTCGTTTCATAAATCTAAAAATCAACCGTAAAAAGTATTTCGAGTTTTATGATTAATTAAGGTGAATTTCTTAAAGTTTGTTTTTTTTTACTAATAGGCCTATCACACACTAACTTCAAACATATCTTGCTCCATTGGTTTCTTCACCCAACAACCTAGTTGGGCTCTAGCAAATGCATCCTTCAACTGATGTTTGGCCAAAGCATAGTTTTGAACCGATGCTTTGGCATCCAAATAATTTGTACAAATTGTTTTATCAACATCCGTGATTGTATCAAGTTGACTTAATAAATAATGGAATTTTCCAAACAAGCCTTGCTTTGAGATTCTGGAGGGTTTTCCCAATTCATCCTTTCCCGTTGTGCAATTGATAATTTCAGCCTCCAACTGTCCAGTTGTCCAGTTAACACTATAATTAGGAGCTTTGCCGGGCTGTCTGACTTCCGACGAAGTTATCAGACTCATCAATGGCTTATTAAGTCTATAAGGCGGTGGCAAACCCTGAATAGTGTTTTCTATTCTGCCACAAACAGCTCTGTACATGTGACTCGGGTTCAATAAACTTCCGAGAACGATGCTGTGGAAGTATATTGGCTCTATGAAGTGGCTGAGAAGTGAACCTTGGATACCAAGAACATTCCAGCGGGCAATTTTGTCCGAGCACGACATAGTGAGCAATCTTTGTCCCATTAACACTCCGTCCCAAGTCTGAATACTTTCACTGGTCTTGACGGGGATCGTACCCTCGCCCGACTCGATTTTGGTTCTCAGCTGGCCCCGGGCCCGCCTGTTGGGGTGCTTGTCGACGGAGTCGCTGTCCTCGTGCGGCGAGAAGATCCGCGCGTCTCCACAGGGCGCCGTATTGATGTACAGGTGAAACTGAATACCGTCCTTCAGCTTGAAACCCTTTGGTCCGGGTTCGAAAATCGATTCGGATTGTTTGTCCTCCGTGTGCAATTTCAGCTGATTGTAGAGGTACTCGCAGAGGCAGCGCCTGGCTATGACCTCGGCGTGGCAGTCGTTGAGCGCGCGTCCGCTCACGCTCAGGTGCTCGCCGCTGACGCACTTGGTGCCCGTCGTGACGCAGATGATGTCGCACTGCTGGCCCTGCGTCTGCACGATGCCCGCCAGCACTTTGCGCCGGGCGTGCTGGGGCTTGTTCTGCATCAGCTCCGAGAACTTCTGATTGACTAGTTTGCCGATCTTGTCGGCGAGCGTCTGCGGCAGCGACAGCTGCTCCTGCCAGTTGCCGAACTTCATGTGGGACTGCGGCATCTTGGTGATCATCGGCATGTGGAACGACGAGCTGTGCACGTTGCGCAGCTTGGCCAGGGCCGCTTTGCTGGCGGCGGCCTTGGCCAGCTTTTTACTGGGCCCCGTGCCCTCGAAGCTCTCGCCGTCGATCGTTACGGACACCGTGAACTTGGCGTAGCTCTCGCCGTTGTCGGCCACGCACTTGTACACCACCCCGGGATAGAGCTCGTTGATTATCGCCACGGGCCCCTTGTCCATGAACTTGTTCATGGCCTTGGGCTCTTGGGGACTGGCCTTGAACGCGTTCATCAGGTCCTTCTCCGTGACGTCGCTGGTGAAGTCGGGCTCGACGCTGAAGCCGCCCACGCCGCCGACGCCACCCTGCACCGTCGCGTTGATGGCCTGATGCACCTCCGAGGAGTTGCGGAACTGCACGATGTTGCGCAGCGCCAGCTCCGCGGCGGCGTGCTTGGCCATCTTCTTGGTGCGGCCCTTGCCCTCGTAGCACTGGCCGTCGACCTGCACGACCATGGTGAAGATGGGCGCGTGCGTCGGCCCGGTCTGCGAGATGACCTTGTAGACGGCGCCCGTCTTCAGCTCGTTGAGCGCGCACACGGCGTTCTTGGGCTGCGGCGTCTTCTGCTTCTTCTTCGACGACGTGTAGGGCCCGTCGTTCTCCGTGTCGCCGGCCGGCCGCTTGTGGTTCTGCTGCTGCGCGGCCTGGACGGGCTTGATCGGGCCCGCTCCGCCGGGGCTCACGACGACGACGCTGTTGTTGTTGGACGGCGACTCCATGACGTTGCGCCTGATCATGCCGACGGCCGCGGCCTCGGGCGAGTTGACGTCTCGTAGGCTGCCACTGGCTGTCACGATGTTGTTGTTACCACCTGCGCCCGCGCGAAACGACACGCCAGACAAACAAAAAGCAGACGAGTGTTGAGAAAAAAAAAGAGTGAAAAACGGGAACGTGCAAGCATTATTATATATTGTCAATGCACCGAAAGACACACTCTCTCTCTGCTGTCTTGTACACTTCAAGAAGCAGCGCGCGGCCTGTGTATCATATACATATAGCTATATAGACTCACGCGCACTCCGAAATGAGATTGAAAGAGCGTGAGCGGCACATGTACTAGTTCAGCACGGCCAGCCGAACGTGTGTGAGTAAATATGTAGCGTATACGTATATGATACATAAGCGTTTCGCGATGTATACAGCGTTATATAGATATCTTTGAAGGTATATAGGCAGCAGCAGCAGCAGCAGCAGCAGTAGTGTAAAGGGGAAGCGAATAATTTAACGAAACATGACGATCGAATGAATAAAAAATGACACGCGTGGCAGGTATATAAGTAAAAAAAAAAAAAATAAAAATTAGGCGAGCGAAAAAAATATTATAATAATTATGACAATAACACGAAAGAAAGCAGAAGAAAGAAAGCACGACGACGAAGAAGAAGAAGTAGAAGAAGCGCAAGAATAAGAAGCAGCATAAAAGTAAAAGGTGCAAGAAAAAATGGAGTCATACATTATAATGCGGATAGATTAGAGCAAAAAAAAGCAGAGAGTAAAGAATAATACTCACTGTTCATGGCTTCGCGAGGCTGCGAGTTTTCCGTCAATACAGCGGCATTACGCATTGTGCAAGCATAACCTTCCGCGGCGGCCAATGACTCGGGCTTCTTATCCAGCAGCAACACCATATAAAACCCGTCGTCGTGCGTTGGAAAGAACCCCCGTTGAGTTTTTGTTGGTAGCGTTTGTATACGAAGTAGGCAAATGGCCACACGAGAGATACTCGAGGGCACCTACTCAGCAGTACAGTAGATAGCAGTAGCAAGTAGTTTGTAATGGTGTGTGTGTATATATTATAATAATACACGGGGCCCAAACACACACACACGCACGGTCGCTGCTGCTGTTTGCTGCTTGCGCGTCGACGAGGAAGAGCGTTATCGCAGCAGTAGTAGTTGAAGTAGTAGTAGTTGTAGTAGTAGTAATCGCGTCAGCGTCGTCTTCTTCTTCTTCTTCCCCGTTCCGATGTTTGTTATTTTTTATATATTTTATATATAGTAGAAGGTACGAGTACGAAACGTCGTCGGGACACCGGAGAAATGGCACAAGCACGCGCGCAGTCACACACGCAGAGATATAGGCAGATTATATCCACCACACCACAGGCACACGTTTCGTCGATCCTCGCTCTCCGATGCTCTCCGTTGTAACTTTATGTGCTGCTGCTGCTGCTGCTGCTGTGCTCCGAAATCTGTGACTCGTCCTAATGCTGCTACACTCTAGCGACGTATGTATATAGACGCGTGTATGTGCAGGCGCTGGTGTAGTGTGTCTGTGTCTGTGTCTGTGTGTATCAAAAGCAGGTAGTATAATCTCGGTGTGTGCGGGAAGCTTCCAAGTTTAGGCTTTCTTGATGATATTGTCGGGCCTCTCTTATCTGTCTCTCTCTTCGATGTACGGTAGCAATAGCAGAGCACAGCACACACAGTGAATCTTCGAACCCGACACGACACACGCACCTTTTAAAAACAATCGCGAGTCGCGTGTTCGCGCGCGCTCGCTCGATCTCTCTCTCTCCGATTATTTGTGGAATGCTTGAGCGAATATGCTCGCGTATATAATAATCGGCTGTGTATCACTGTTGTTTTGGCGCACCGCAGGGTCAACAATCCAACAACCTTCTTACTTTTGTTACTTCCAACTTTGATCGATACTTTGATAACTTTTTTTTTTATTCAACACTGCGACTGGCTTTTTGTAACGAGAAACGCGTGTGCGAGTGTGCGCTTGGCGATTAAAAAAAAAAATCAAATTTTCCGGCGCTGTCTGTCGAGGCCAAATCACCGAGTTAATCTAATGAAAAAATCCAACGAGATATAGAGGATACGACGATAAAAATAACGACAACGAGAAAAAAATTCAAAAGGGGGATGGTTAGACGAACGCAAAAAAAATGAGTACAAAGATTTTCGTTGGATTTTCTTATAAGTAGCCTGCGTGAGATGGCCCGTGCAGCAGCCGCAAAGTGTGACTGTCGTGGGCAAAGCGAACGGGGGGAGAGCGAAGCGCGACCGACGATGAGGATAGCCTGCTGATCTCGGAGCAGTCTCGCTTGCTCGCTCGGCGCTCGCTTGTGTCCTGCACACACACACGCACACACACAGAGACGACTTCGCGTTTACACACAGAGACAATGTGTCGTATTGTACTTTTCGCTCACGTGTGTGCAGGGTGGCTCTCTGCGGGCCTATACTCGACTACAACACACCGAGTTGACCTGCCTCTGTGTTGTGTCGCGCACAAACAGACACACACACACACACACACACACACACTTGCATAGAAGTCACACAGACACGAAAGATATCCGCAGTGGCCGCGAGTTTGCGCATAAAACCTCGTGGCGGTAACGCTTCAAAATCAGCGAATAGCCGAGGCGCGATAGCTGCTGTGCATGGTGTGCGCGTGCTGCTACTGCTGCTGCTGCTGCTGCCGTGTGCCATGCTATATAGAGGCACAATGCGGTATAAAGTCCGTGCGCCTCTCGGTGCATCGATTATCTCTGTCTTTTGCCCTCCCGCTGCTACTAGCTGGCTGCACACAGGCGCGCAGACACCCCCCGCACACGCGCACACGTATACAGATATGCACGGAGGAGGCTCTCGAGTGTAATCGGTGCCGCTGCAGCAGTAGCAGTACGGTATATAGGTACCAGTAGGCATGTCGAGCGAGATGCCAGCTATATATATAGCTATATATGTATGAAAAGGAAGAGAACTTGCAGAGCTTTGCGCCTCGCGCGCAAGCGCTCGTACACACGTGCATCGACTGCACGTCTCTCTCTCTCTCTCTCTTTCAGCTGTGTGCAGCTGCGTTATATATATACCTATATAGAGGTAGGTAGACTATGTGGCAAGTACACGTACGTGCGAATCTCTGCATGTGCAGCCAGGCCGCATCTATAGGTACTACTACGTGCCTGCATATATGTTTATATAGCCGCGCAGAGGCAGTTTATGTATAGCTGCTGCTGCTGCAGCTACTACTGCGCGCACTCGCCAATATTTGGGCTTCTCTCGGCTCGCTCGCTGTTCGCCTGTGTGTGGAATTAATTATAAATGCATACGAAGGTTGAAGCTGTTATTTTTGGCGGACGATCGCCAAGTCGAATTAGCCCAGATTTCGTTCGTTCGTTCGTTCGTTCGTTCGACGCTGCTGCTGTTCTTTTTTTTTTTACATTTCTGATCCCTCCGCTGCCGAATCGCGAACTTTATACACGACATTAAAAGGATATCGGCCAACGCTGCTGGTCACGTGCGAATTTCAAATAGCCGATCGATCTTGTGTTGCACGACGATGATATGTCAGGCCGCCGCATGTGATACTGCTACTCGTGTTCGGGCGCGCGCGCACCCATGTGCATGCGGCATTTATCATTATTATTATTAACCATTATTATGATTATCGTATGCATTTATGACACGCGCGAGGGTACATCTCGCACGCAGCCTGACACACGAGTGAGAGAGAAGAGTATTATAAAGTGTAAGACGTGACGCGCGCGCGGGTTCTATACGGGGAGACGTGCCTACATACCGCACGTATACTAGTATATAGTGCAATTTAGATTTCGGAGCGGAGCGGAGCGCGCGGGGGGTTGAGAGATGACAAGATACCGATAAGATTCCCGGATCTCGATTGGGTCGTGTGTGACTGTGTGTGTCTCGGTACGTACATTTCTCTTTTTTTTTTTTTTTACTATGTATACGAGACGAACGCATCACGTGATTGCTACATTGCAGGCAACATACCTTGGGAGAGAGAGAGAGACATATGCACAATTTTTTTATGCCAGCCATTACAATTTCAAATGAGGATACCTTTTAGGGAGGTCTCGCATGATATGCATACATATTACTGGTGAAGGTGATATATCGGATTCTCATTGGATTGCATTTCGAATTTATGACTGTTTGGACTGTGATGTAAAGGGAAAGAGAGCTTGTACAAAAAAAAAGAAGATAATTATACCAATCGATTTTACAATTAGAAAAAAATACGTGTTCTTTATTCAATCTTACAGGAAAAATTTCCATAACAATCTCGCGACGATACCGATAATTAAGACTACGAAGGCGAACGTGTGCAGCGTGAGGGCGGGTAACGATCGTTGCTGCTGCTGCTGCTTGTTGTTGGCTGCGTTGCGGGCCGCCACGTCGTTGACTTTGGTCACGCTTTGGTCGTCGATCGGCTCGCCCTTGATCGAGTGCTTGGACGCCGACACGATGCGCACCCGCACGAGATTGCCCATGAACTCCTCCCGCATCGGCACCAGCACCTGCTCGTAGCACTGATTGTGGCCCACGTAGTGCCTCTTGTCCGTGGCGATCTCCGTCACCAGCACCTCTTGGATCTCGCCCACCTCGTGGTCGTACGGCTGATACGACTGAAAGAACTCCGAAAGCGCCTTGGTGCGCTGCTTGATTATCTTGGCCGGTATCTGTGTCATGGCGGCGGCCGGCGTGCCCGGCCTCGGGAAGAACTGATTGATGAACAGATTGGCGAACTTGTACTTTCTGCACAGCGACATGGTGTCCTCGAAGTCCTCGTCCGTCTCCGTGGGGAAGCCGCAAATGATGTCCGTGGCTATCGTGATGCGCGGCATCCTCTCGCGCAGAAAGTCGACGATGTGCTCGAAGTCCTCGCGCCTGTACTCGCGCTTCATGTCGTTGAGCACTACGTTGCTGCCGGACTGCACCGGCAGATGAAGGAAACTGTACACTTTGGGATGCTGCAGGATCTTGCTCATCTCCTCTATGTGTTCCAGTATGTAGGGTGGATTGGTCATACCGACTCTCATTCTGCAGCCGTCGGGTATGACTTCGATGAGTTTCCACAGCAATTCTGGTAAGCTGGTGCCGATGTCTTTGCCGTAGGTTCCTGTATCTTCGGATGTCAGCCAAAGCTCTTTGACTCCTTCATCGAAGGCTTGTATGGCTCTCTCGATGATTTCTTCTGGTGGATAACTGCCTAACTCGCCTCTGGCATGTTTTGTTTTACAATATGTACATTGATTAAGGCAGCCGGTATTAACAGCTATGATCTCTATGAGTGGATTTTTCCTAACTTTTGGCAATAGAAGAGATGCTCCTCCAGATTTTTTACCAGCTACTTTCTTTTTACTTAAAAACTTAACAGTATTGCCTTTTAGCGTTTCCTCTACCACTTCAACTACTCTATCGATTTGCTGAACACCAATCACACTCAATCCTTTCAAGAAACCAGTTTTTGGAGCTCCTTGTGGCACACAGCCAGCGACAACAACGTGTTTTCCCAGCTTTCTGCCAGCTTCAATTTCATTTCTGAAATGATCTTCAGCTGGACTCTTCACTGTGCAAGAGTTGAGAATCCACAAATCAGCAATTTCTTTGTCTGTCGTTAAGTTATATCCATACTCAGCCAGCTGTCCAGCCATGTATTCGCTGTCAGAATTGTTGTGTGTACATCCCCAAGTTCTCAAGTAGATTGTCTGCGTACCTGGAATAACACTGGAGTATATCTGTAATTCCGGCAGGACGATTTCCTCTTTGCTCTTGGCAACTGGCTGCACTTTGATGTTTTTTCGAGTTGCATATCTCTGCTTTGGCGTTATGTCTTGAGAAGATATCAGATCTTCGATATCTTCAATTATCTCGTTGCAAGCTCCAGTCATTTTTTTAGATAGTGGAATGAACTATTTACAAGAAAAAAAAAATGACTACTCGTTCAAAACGAACGAACGTCTCTCCACCACTTGCTGCACCTGGAAAATAATATTATCTCGTGAAAACTCCCAACAGACACAAAGGTTATGAAATCAAGCAAACGTGCAGTTTAGTTTTTCACCGATACGTTAAAATGCACTTGAAAGATAATTGAATTCACTTAAAAAGTAGACTTACCACGAGTAATTATTATCTACAATTATCAATATCAACAACGATAATTAACACAGCTGCCAAAGTAATGACAGTATTGCGTCAATAATAAAAACACAGTTCTGCTCCTAAAGAAGGTTATGCCTTTTCTAGCTTCTATAACGTGCACTTGCTCCGACGTCGTGAACTCGTGCGTGCACGGTACAATGACTAGAGTGAAAGTTCGTCTGCTAGGTGGAAGCGCGCGCGCACATACGAGTTTGAATTCGAGGCGGTTTTATACGAATCGTGGTGAAATGAAGTCATTGAACGATAATCAAGTCATCAATAGTCGTTTTTAATTTAAAATAAAAATGCAACGTTTACATGGATTTCTTTTTCTTTTCTGGTGTATCCCGATTGGCCAGCAATCGATTATTGTTACACAACCACATGAATGAAACAAATAATAATATTTTTTTTTTTTCAGAAAAAAGACGTATCATCATAAATATAAAAACAACAACACAATCATTCTTAGATAAAAACACTTATAACTACGTACATAATGAAAATGCTCAGTTTCGAAAAAATATTTGCCGAGCGCGGCTGAGCGAGGAAACAATTATATTTAATTTTTATAATTAAAACAACGAGAGGGGCGGCGGTGGCGTCGAGTCGAACGAATCGCGCGTTCGATTCAACTTTTCGAAATGCTGATCACCGGCACGTTGGGTTCCAACAAGTTTCTAACTTTTTTCAGCCCTGTAAAAAAGAAGAAGAAGAATTTTATCATGTTACCAAGCTCGTAGGCATGTTGCAACGTTGTACGCGCTCTATACTCACCCTCGTTTTTCTGCGCCAGCGTGTGATTGTACGACGGCGAGAACATCTTTCTGAGCTCCTTGACCGGCTTCACCTGGGCCTTGATGGGCGAGCTCACGTAGCCGATCGACTTTCTCTTCACGATCTTGGAGATGGTCTTGTTACCGGGACTGTTGGCGTGCAGACGCGTTCGCTGCTGCTGCTGCTGCTGCGGCTGCTGTTGCTGCTGCTGCTGATTGAGCAGCACGGGCCTGACGTAGTACGGGGTGAGCTGGCGACGTCGCACGTTGATGCACTTGTTGTCGATGGCCCGCTGCAGGCGGCTCTGCTCGATCGACGACGGGGTGGCGTCGCTGGCCGAGTGCGAGCGCCGATTCACCGTGTACGAGCCGCACAAGGAGGACGACTGAGTGACGTCGCTGCAGCTCGTGACGAGGCAGTTGTAGCTGCCGCCCCCGGTACTGCACGCGTTGAAGCTGGCCGAGGTCGCGTCCTGAGCACCGCTGCTGCAGTCCGAGCAGGAGGACGGGCGCGTGCGATTGAAGCGCGCCGTCGTGAAATTGACGTGATGCTTCGTCTTGATGGGCGAGAGGGCGAAGCTTATCTGTATTAAATAAACACAATGTTATCGAGTAGTAGTAGTTGAGTCAGAGAAGAATAATAACGCCGACCTTGCTGCGATTCTTGGACGTCCTGAGGAGCTTCTGAGCCTCGCGCGACTGATAGCTCGGACTCCTGACCGACTTGTTGGCGACGAAGGAAGGCGCGCCGCCGAGTTTGCCCGGCTGCACGAGGAGCTCCTTTTTGGCCGGCTGCTGACCCTTGCCCTTGATCACCTCCTCGAAGTGCTGAGTCAGGCGAGTGACGCGACGCCTGTACAGGCTGCTGTTGGCCATGCTCTGCATCTTCAGCTGCGGTATCTTGGTCGACTTGCGGACGCTGCTCGACGACGATGCATCGGTCACGACTATCGCCGGACTCTTCGACTGTTCCTGCTGCTGTTTCTCCGTCGTCGAGCACGCTGGCTCGTCCTCGTTGGGCGTCGAGTGCGCGTGCTTGGTCACGTCCTTGTTGAAGTCCTCGACGATGAGCTGTATGTAGGCGCCGGTGCGCTCGTCGCCCACTCCGCTGTCGCCGCTCGTCGTGTTGTAGTTGAACGTGCTGCTGCTGCTGCTGCTGCCGCTGCAGCACGAGGACGCGCCGTGACCGCCTACGTGACTGATCGAGACGAAGCGGCTGGCGGCGCGCGGCTGCTGCTGCTGCTGCTGCTGCTGCTTGGAGCGTTGTTTTTCCGACTTGGCGGTGGTGGTGTTCGCCGCGATCGAGACGTGCTTGGGGCAGCTGACGATCGGCGATAATCTGCGAATAAATTGAGAACGACGTGAATAAAAAAAAGGGGAGAACGAATTATCGCATCGATCATCATCGAGTCGAGTAGATCGCGATAGCGTCGTGTTTATCATAGAATATATATACTTTTACAGGGGCCCCTCGTGCGTAATGAAATTCTGCCTCGAGAAACGGAGCAAAATTTCAAAACAATAAAAATATGTATACACGCGCGCAATTATTACGGCATATATGTGTGTTTACAGCTTCTTACGACACACGCACGCACGCACACACACACATACAAACACACGCGCACACCGAGTCGAAAAGGACGTTCGGAAGAGACTTGTGGAATTTAAGCAGCGAAGCACACACACACGGGTCGTTGCGCGCATTGTCTCCCAATCACATGCTCACTGCTCATTAGAAATGTCCTTGCAGCTGTCTCTCCTAAATAATGATGTATTAAAACACTCACTTGTTGCCAAAGGTCGCGTGATCCCGATAAACCCTGAGCTCGAACTTGTCTTTGTTCTTTTCGATGCAGGTGGTGGCGGTGGCTGCCGGAGACTTGTCGTCGTCGTTGTTCGAGGAACCACCCGTGATCGCCGAGTCATTGTTATCGTCGTCGTCCAGGGGACTCTTGTATAAGGGGCTGCTCTTGGCCGGCGAGAAGAACACGTCGTCGTTCATGGGACTGGCGCTGGCCGGCAACTCGCTCGCCGAGATCGCGTCGATGTTGACGTTGAGCAGATTCTCGTCCTCGACCAGCACCGAGCTGCTCTCCATCAGTGATCTGTCAGCGTTCATCTGGTTATTGCGGTTTACCGCGCCGGGGTTGTTGTTGTTTTCGTCGACCTCCATGACGGTCGTCAATCCGTCCTTGGCTCTCGATCGCCTCCTCGTATTCCGATACGAATTGTTGCTGTACTCCCCGTCGTACTCGTCCTCCTCCTCCTCCTCGTCGTCTTTGTCCTCGTCCTCCTCGCAGTTGCGGTCGTTGATCGTCAGACTACCGGCCAGTATCGTCGACTCGAGCGACGCCAAGGACTCGTCCTCGCGGAAGCTGCGATAATTCAAACCACTGCCCGCGCAAATGATGCTGTGCTGCCGCTGCTGCTGCGGCTGCTCCAATGGTACTGATATCGGTGCGATTTCGATTCGGCGGCTTCGAGGATTCGTAATCAACTTGACGCGATTTTCCTTCGAGTCCATCACAAGTTTATCGGTCCACGTCCAAGTTGTAACTGTCGTATGGTAGTTAATAATAGGCACGAGCTCTCTGTACGCACGCGCCCGATATGTTTTTGTTGCAAATTAATAGTAAATACATATGTTTACTCGCGCGCCAATTAATCGCGACTATTGTGTCGCGACGAGGATACACTTGAGGATAGCTCGACGCTCTCTCTCTTATACGTGTATTCGGATGTAAATATTTTAAACCGTATTCGCAGCGTTGATGTCGATCGATTTGAAAACTTATTTAAGCGACGATGATTGGCAATGGGGTTGAATGAAATTGCAAAAAATGGAATTAATGACCTTTCAGGACAATTTTATTACCGAAAAAATATACAAAAGATATCGAGTAACATCGTAACATTATTATAAAGATTCGTTCATTATCGTAGCGTACGAACTATATTTTGATTATGAATAACACGATTGAACGAAAAACGCTGTCAACACATTTTTCACGCTGATTGTGTTTTATCGCTAATGTCACTGTGAGAGCAAAACACTTTGTACATCGAACACTATTTTAAAGCATCATTAGAGTAACGTACTTGAAATTATTTTATCTTTTATTTAACACTTATATACTAATTATGAATGAAAATGATTAGTTAAATTAAGGAAAAAAAATCCAATTTTTTTATTTAACTATAAAGCCGCGAAATTATTCTCTGTACGTGAAAAGTGTTTGTAATTGATCGACAATCCCTGGCGATAAAGATAGGTCACTCATGTAGTCTTTGAAATGGGCGGTGATTCTGTAAAGACTTCGCCTGGTAGCCGAGCGAAGTGCAGTCAAAGATTGTTTCAAAAATCGATCGTCGCTCAATGGTTTTCTGATGGACACGTTCATCTTTTGTATCTTATCAATTGTTTGTTTCAATTTCAAAAGTGTTTCTATTATGTCTGGCAAATCTTTTTGAACGATACCGTAGGGATCCTCTTCTAAAGAAAATGCAGCTAGACTTGAAATGGCATCGGAGGCGCATGTGACTGAATATGTTTCTCTCAATGTGTGCCTCAATTTACTTTCAAACTGCTCGCCAAAAATGTATCCGATTGGTTTTTTTGACAAAAGGTAGTTAATGAAATTTTGTCTAGTATTCTTATAAAATTTCACTAAGAAATTATCCGTGGGAGGTTGTTTATTTTTTAATTCTTCATTCAGTGTTTCAGCAGTAGTCATTGGTGTAACAAGACTTCTCATGTGGTAGATATGTGGTTTTTCTAGCAGCTGAGAATCTAATGTTGATGGAATCTTAGTTACAACTGAAGGTTGGTCTTTTTGAGTTCCACAAGTAAGATTTAACTCCTCATTGAAGTGTTTCAAGTGGGCTAGACACTTTCCAATGACATTATTCCAGTTGTAGGGATGTCCACCAGGTTGACTTAAAGTAAATAGCATTGATCTTCTAATCTTATCTTTCAGAGCTACATTAAATAGATCTAAGTACCCAAGGTTTCTAATTATTGATATTTCACTAGTTAGTGTGCTATCTAAAGTAATATCACTCATTGGAGATTGTTCAATATCAAACAAAACCCATTCTGTGAGATATGCTTGAAATAATAAATGCATACTTTGAATTATAACAACAAAAAGTACTGTGTGCAAATATGCATAAAATATCAGAGAGGAGTTCATCAGTCTAGATAATGTATCCAAAGGCACCTCATCAATAGCCAATGAAAATAGTGATAAAATAAAGTTTCTGAAATAACTTCCAAATATTGCATAAAATCCCATGAAATATGTTACGGGCCAAATAGCATCATATAAAGTGCTGTTAATTACTGCTCTAAGGCCTAGTCTAAGTTGAGATAATTTTGCCTGTGGAATAATCGGAAACTGCAAATTTCTGTTTCCTATATAACTAGAGTTAACAAAGAAATACAGTCCAATCCAAAATCCATGAAGACGTAAGAATAAATGTTCTTCAACGAGGCAGATATTTTTAATTTTCTGGCATTCCCTTGACATCGAACCAAATTTACCACCTTCTACTGATACATGCAGCCAAACTAAAACTGCTCCTAATATCATATAAACACAACCCACCATGAGATTGTGCCACTTGAACATGTGACAAAATTTGACAAATCTACTAGGTGCATACACAGCTGGTCGAATGTAGTCTTTGCTTATTAATATTGCTAGGAGAACTACTATAAATCCAAATACAATGAAGCCTGTCCACATTTGCGAGCACGTGACGACGTTCCAGGTAATTTGTATCCATTCCAGTGGCTGAGTTATCTTTATTTTCATAAAAAGAATGGCGCCGCTTATAAATGCAAAATGTACTATGACAGTGGCGAACAATGCAAAGTATATTCTTTGAAACATTATATCTAAGAAGTCTTTTTTCTTCTGCACTCCCGTTGGTTCCATTGTGGCAAAAATGTTATTCTTGATTGAAAAAAAACAGGTCCTGCAAAGGATACGAAAGTATGGTTTTAATTTCCAAAGGCTTGAGATCGCGTTTATTGTGAGATTTCAAATTGAATAATTAAAACAAACCTATCCACGTTACAAAAATAACTTGAAAACTTATTCGGATCGTTGACACTCGAGCATTATTAACAAACTCACTGTTGAATTATAACCTCCAATGGATTTAAGCGAAAATTCAAAACACGCGATATACCGGCGAACAACACACCGGCTAATAAAAGACAGAATTTGCGCCCGCGGATGACAGTTGGCGGTTTTTAACTAACGCGTGCTGCCATCTTTCTGAAATCGCCCGCTCTCCATTCAGTCACTCATGCACCTGCGGCACAACGTGTTCACGCAGAGCTGCACCACTCATTCATTTTAACACCTTTACTTTTTTTTTCATTTTATTTTTTTTTTTTCGAATTAATTAACTAAATGGATAACAATGAGGAGCAGGATTCGGACTCGTTCACGAGAGTGATACAGTTGGATAACTGCGGCAAGACGCTGACCTTCCGTCAGAATATCCTCGGCAGAACGAACGTCGTTGTTTGGGACGCTTCGATAGTGCTGGCTTCGTACCTTGACAGATCGTGCCGCTTCGAGAATTGGCTGTGCGGAAAGAGGGTCCTGGAACTCGGCGCCGGTCTGGGATGCGCCGGCCTGACCGCAGCGTGTTACGGGTAAAGGCACATGTCGCACGACAGCACGAAATGGATATTAAATTTCGTTCGTAATTTTTTCAAATTTAAATCCTCAGGGCCCACGTTGTCCTGACGGATCTGGATGACGCTTTACCGTACACGGAAAAAACTGCGCGACAAAATCGCAACGAGTATGAAAAGTGCGGCGGAACTGTCGATTGCCGCGTATTAAAATGGGGCAAAGAGATCGACTTAGATTTTCAACCGGAAATTATACTCGTATCGGATTGCGTATACTACGAGGAAGTACGTAAGCTCGATATTAAAATAAATTTCAAACGCAATAATGTTAATTTTATTCTAGTCTCTGGAACCATTACTCAGTACCTTGGACACACTTTTGAGTAATGGCACAGGTGTACATGCAATATTATCGCAAGAACAAAGAGATACTCCAAAACAAGTGATCGTTAATAAAAAGTTTTTAGAAGAACTAAACAAAAGGTTCAAAGTAACATATATTCCTATAACAGACCAACATCCAGTGTATGCAAGTTCTGACATTCACTTGATGAAAATATCAAAAGATTGATTTTACCTAGGCAAGATTCATTATTATTATTTACAAAATAAAAAGTAATTTATTATTTATTAAGAAATTAATGAAAATATTGATTCTTTAATATCATTTTTACTTCTTCCTGTCACTTGAATGAATCAACGTTTAAATTTTCATTCTTAATACTATATATACATATACATATAATACAATGCTAAAAGATAGTCAGTAAATTGAAAAAATTATTTTGGATTTGAAAATCTTATTACAAATATCATTAATGTTGAAATTCATTATTATTTATTATCAGTATTTAACTAATTGGTTCCTGATTAGCCAGTAGCTCATGCTCACTGAGCCCCAATTCTTTGAGTCTATCTTGCAGTCCGGCGAACCGCATTTGAAGCCCGTGCTCTCGCGTTCTTTGACGATTGACGTCCTCTTCCAGCGCCCTGATTCTTTTTGGTATGGCCGCGTCCTCCTGCTGCTTCAAAAATTTGAATGTTGAATACTCTAAGCGTGATTGGTCGATCTGCTCTGTCACGTCGTTGAATTGTTTTGTCAAAACTTGAGTTCGGTTCTGTAAAATAATTTAAAAAAATACGATGATCGAGAATTCAAGGATATGCAACGAATCATTAAGAACTTATAAATTTTCAATTAATTTACCATGTAACCACCAAGAACTACTTTTAACTTCTTCTCCATTTTTGCAGCACGTTTGGCTTCCGCAGCCATATGCTGCCTATTTCTTTCCAATTGCCTTTCATAGGACTCAATCCTATCCTTTTTCGAAGCCAACGTAGCTCTCGTGTAGCGTTTTTGGGACTCCAAGAACAGCACCTGAATGAATGCAAAAAATTGAATGCCTCATTAAATCATCATAGTCGAGCAAAAAAACATATTTCGTAGCCGAGTTATTATGTTAAAAAAAAATTCATGTAATAATTGTACGTGCCATAGCGAACGTACAGCCGAAAGAAGAAAAAATCTCGACAAGCAGTGTAATCGGAAGGCGGCAAAAAATCTGAACGCTACACCAGCGAGCGGAAAAGAGACGCTGCGATTATTACTACATTTCGCGACGTACAGGATAGAGAGGAAAAAAAGGTATATGAGTATATAGTTTTGCGTTTCGCTATTACGGCAATAATCATCCGCGCGGCTACGACCTCGAGAGTCTCTCTCGGAGTGAGCGCGGAGTAGGAGAGAAAGCGCGACTTTCTCCATCGCAGAGCGCGCTCTCGGACCCGTGTCCTGTGCGTAGCACATATCAGTCAGTTTGTAGGCGACCTGCCCGTTAGTCCAGATTTTTTATTATTTGCGTGAAAAATTTGCAAGTAAACAAGCCAAAATCATGGCAAAGATTGCATTGGTAGGTTTAAGATCGATCCTTCGAATATTTTCTTATTAGTTAACGCAAAAAAATCGTGCGAAAATATTCGCGCTGCAGGAGTAATGATCGTTACGCTTTAACAAACATGTGTGTTTTAACGTTTAATCATATAAATGGTTCGCGTAGTAACTATTGTTTGTGATTGTATATTTCAATTCTCAGTGCAATCCAACGCGACTTCTGAATCTATGTTCCAAGTTTTTTTTACGTGTTCCGACGTGTGATAAAAAAATTTTAATTTTTCGTCGATGAGTCAGGTCGAAATATTTGCATAGTGAATTATATAACCGTCTGTAAATTGTCACGAAAAAGCAACTTTCTTGCTGGAACTGATTCAATTGCGATACGATTGAGTAGTGAATATTGCTAAAAAAATATATAAGCACTAAACTCGCAAATGCATACAATTTGTACTGATTTTGAAACTCTCAAACTTTAAAGGATTTAACATCATATATTATGTTATTCTAAAAAAATGTATCGATGATTTTTCTCATTAGGGTTTTCTTACAGTACTTTTCATAGTACTCGTAATCGATGTCCAACCAAGTAGTTCGGCTTTTGCCCAACCCCGTGCCCCGAATTTCCAATATTTCGAAAGGTAACATTTGTGATTAATGAGCTTGAATCAACGATCGTACCATGATAAATTGAAATTACTTTTTCAATTGCAGGCCTCAATACCGTTACCCGTATTACGATGAAAATGGAAAAGGCCGTTTGCTCTACGGATATGGAGGACCGCAATTATATCAGTACAAAAAGTATACAGCGCTTGAAGGAATTCACTAGTGAATAAAAACAATAAGGGAAAATCTTGTTTGTAAATATAGTGAAGGAAGTGTTAAAATTAAAATTAATGTATGATACCACGGTAATAATGTTAAGTAGCATAAGGTACAAAAATTAAAGGTTTTGTCATTTTTTCAAAAGTAAATCAATTAATTTTTTTAAAATACCTGAGCTGAACATTCTTCCCAAACAGTGCTGTATGCATCAATGCTTAATTCTCCATGATCCATTCCTTCCTTGACGACTTGTATCTCATTTTTCAAAATTTCTTTGGCCTAAGATAATAAAAATTTTATAAAATACAGGTGAGACGTTTAAAAAAGAAAAAAATTTAATATGAAAACATACCGATTCCATCTCTTCTTCCTCAAATTCTTCATAAGGATGCCTTTCTAAATAATTAGAAGCCTGATTTAGTGCCGTCTGAGCACGTTTCGGATTAATGTGTGGTTGAGGATTTTTAAGGATATCATAACACATCATTTTAACCATTTCTCGCTTGATCAGCTCTTCTGCCTTTTGCTGATCTGTCAAATTTGAAACATCATTAGATGGTCTAAGGATATTCAAATTGACCTCTAAGGGTCGAGGAAGATTTCTTTGGATGACTTGCGATCTCTTCGCTAGTTCCAATTTTTCTGAAAATGAAAGAAAATTAAAATGAAAGATCTCCTATAAAAATAATTTACGTTAAATAGATCCATCTAAAACATACGTTGTTCTAAAATTGCTTGCTGCTTTTTAGCATCAATATCAGCTTGATCTTCGACGATTTCCATAGCTGCATTGGCTTCGTCTCCTTCGTTGATTTCTTCTTCTGGGATGACAATTTCGAAATCATTTTTGGGCGCAGGTAAAGAATCAAATTTCACTCGTAATTGATCTTTGGCCTATAAATTACAAACAAAAAATAAATATTTGAAGTATTCATCAAGATGAAAAATTAAATATCCAAAATTCTCACCTGTTTTTGAATAATTGGAGTTTCTGAGGGATCAAGTGCTTCTTCAGGATTAATGCTAAGCCTATCACGTAATGGCGTTTGACCAACAACTGAACCAGTTACAGAACCAGCTACAGAACCAGGAGTATTAAATGGAGCCGGAGAACCATCGACTCTCTGAGATCTAAATGGCGTGGATAGGACCGTATTAGGGGTTGCAAGAACTTTTGAAGTGGGTACAATTGAGCTGAAGTCAGCATTAGTTAGCTCAGTATTGATACCACCTGTAAATAAATAGCTTGTATCAATATTTTTGAAACTATTTGAGCAGCCACATTCAAGTAGGGTAGAGAAAGAAAACTGAATGGTTTATGATTTTACCTTTTAGTGGAGTATCAACATGTGTAAGAGCCATAACATTTTGAGCTTCTTGTAAAACCCTATCTACTGCAGCTGGAGTTCTTGGAGTAACAGACGTGTTTGGAGTTAATGAGTAATCTGCTAATAGACTATCGGTTGTATGAATTCCACCTTCCAGTGCTATTTCTCGCGCAGCCTGTTAAAACATTAAATTAATGATGTGACTTAGAAATAATTTTGAAAGATATTTAAAATGCAAACCTCTGAAGCTCTGCCCAATTTAACTACTTGTTGCAATTCTTTGTCGGAAATTTGAGGCTCTGGTAGGACTAGTTTACTCCTTTTTCTGGCTGGTTCATTATTCATCATGTTAGCCGGCATATCGTTTTCTTTTCTTTGTTTCAACTTCTGTTTATCTTTTTTTCTCTCAATTTCTTCTTTTTCTTGGCGGCTAAGTTGGTTCTGCTGATTTTTTTTGAGTTGAGAAAAGTCAGCTGCATGAGGATCAATTTCTTCGTTAGAAGTATCATAAAAACCAAGAGCTGGTTTTTTCTCAAATGGAATTTCAGTATTATAATTAATTCCTCGCTTTCTTTTATTCTTTTGCTGAACAGCGATTCCCGCTGCTCTTAATTCTCGCCTTTTTTGCAAAGCAGCCAATCTACGAGCTTCTTCCAACTGCTTTTCGCGGGCCTTCCTCTTGGCTTTTTTTCCTTGGGTGTTAGCTAAACGAGCCCTGGCTTCAGATAACATCTCAAGTTCTATAAATAAAATATATAAAATCAGTAAATATAAGTAAATATCAGTATATAATAAAGTATTTAATTAATCAACAACTTTAAAAAAAATCTGCCTAAAATATACCATCTTCATCCATATCTTTTGGATCTGGTCGAGCTGGTTTAGTTTCTGGATTTGGATCAATTTCACCAGGTTTTAATTTTCTAGGATCGTCCATATCATCGCCTTCTTCTTTCTTCTGGGCCTGATCCCTAAGTGAAGTAAATGAATATTAAATTTATAGTTTCCAAAAATGTATAATTCAAATGAAGTATTCATAATTTAACTCACAGCAAGTATTCATAACGCTCAAGACATTGAGCGGCAGTTCTACCAATAATCGGAGCTATTGTTCTCCATTGTGTTGGCATTAATTTAGCTAGATGAAGAAGTTTTTCATCTTCTTCACGGCTCCATTCTGTTTTTTTAATGCTTGGATCAAGCCACTCAAACCATCTAGCCTTGCACTGCTTCGCAGACTTTCTGTGAAGCAGGGATGCAATTCTACTCCATGAGTTCTTTCCATATTTCATCACCGCAGCTTTGAGGATTTCATCCTTAAATGAATAAAAGACAAGTTAAAAATTTTTTGTAATGTGATAAGTTCTAATATTAAGGAGATAGAAGCCAGCCAAAATAACAAAATATTCAGTAGAAGTTTCAGAAAACTGGATTGAAATTTTGTTATTTTGGCTGGCTTCTATATCCCCTTAACGTAAACTAGACAGCTTAGGTGAATCTCTTAAATCACTCGCAAAGAAGGTTTATTAACATTATTTGATAAAGAACAGATAAATGAAATGAAATATTAACTTCACTTCTACAAAAGAGTGTATTATTCTATTTTTTTTTTAAATTTACACAAATGAGTAAGTAATAGTAATCGAAAAATTGAAAAAAATAGTTTTTTTGAGAATCAATTTTAACTTATTTTTAAGCACTTTTTAAAGTTTTAATATAAATATTAAATAGAAAGTAAGATTATTTATCGATAATTAAAAATTAGTTATTTGATTGATACTCACCTCTGTGTTTCTCCAAACACCACCCTTGATCATAATACGAGGCATTTTGATGTTCGTTTAGTAGACGTACGACAGTCAAAACTAAGTTTCGCCGATTGGCTTAAAAATTAGTAATTGAAGGCTAATTGCAACGAGCCACCACACTCACGACAGTCTAATGATAAGGAATAATTTGTAAATAAAATACAAACATTTAATGAATTATTTAACAATAAATGAACACTTATGTGAGGCGATTCCTAACCTTAAACAATACGCACAAATTGACGGTACAGAAATCACACAACACATAAGGCATACACAGTACACTAAGTATGGCATTGGCAATTGGCAATGTGGATATAATCATAATGCTTGTCGACACTAGCGCACCGCTGCTTTGCTGGATCATGAAAAACGACGAACTAAGGGAACAATAGCGAATTGCATACCATTTTGAATTTTTGCGAAAAATCTATACATAAAAACCTTTCGAAAATGTTTCGAAAGATAATTCAAATGAAGACTCATTCAAATCCAACGTCGAACATCCGTTAAAAATTAAAGATAAAATTTGCAACGATAGAACCGTTCAATGACTTTTTTGCAATATCGAATGCTCCAATCGGCGTTCGCGAATCCTCGCGATTTCTGCGCGCGCACAGGTCTGCGGCGGGTGCCGGCAAATTTTGCACGCTGATTTTCCTCGTGGATACGCGCGCTCAAGTCGATCGTCTTCATTCTTTCCACTGTGTGCCGAAAGCAGCAGATAGCACGACTGAAACGTGTTCGTACTTGCAATTTCGTACAAAGGTAACGGCCTTTTTTCATAATGTTTATATCAAAGAAATAGTAACTATTGGTTCTTTGATTAATACATTTCTAAATCAACTGATAAAGACTCTTTGACGTGTTGAAATTCGCGAGAATTCGATAGATTTTGAGAGTAGGTTAAGGTTCGATTCGAAACTATTCGCAGGTATCCCTTTGTTCTATTGTTAACGGATTTATTCGAATGTTTGTTCCAATCGATGTCTTGTTTCAATCGAATGAAATCATATCATAATGAATATTGAATTTTATCTTAAAGTATTACTCATCAATGAATTGCATATTTCTTCTTTAAAAATTAATCTATTGCGATAAACTTATTTATTTAAATTTCGTTTCAGTTAAGTTTGAAGGAATCGAAGATGCCTAAATCAAAGGAAACCATTTCTACCAGCGAAAGCGGCAGTGAGAGCGAGGTAAAAATGACTTTAGATAGAAAAATGATATATTTTTCTGGATGTTTTTTTCTAGATCAAACTTATTGTTTATAATTCTTTGCCTTTAGGAGGAAGTCAAACAGAAGAGCATGCCAGCAAGCAAAAAACGACAACTGCAAGAGAAAGAGAAAGAGAAGAAAAAGAAGAAGCCAAAATCTGAATCCGAGTCAGAAGCCAGTGAAGCATCCGAAGCATCTGATGTAAGTCAAATTAACTTTAAAAAATTATTGGAGTTATTATTCTATTTTTTTTATATCTGACATTCAATTTGTTACAGTCTGAAGAAGAAGCAAAATCTAAGAAGCGTCCAAAGAAGACCAACAACAAGGCTCCAGCTAAAAAAGCCAAAACCAATGATGATGGAGAAACTAGTTGGGAATTAGGAAATATGAAGTTTGTCACCATTCGTACTTTCAAAGGAAAATTGTTAGTGGACATTAGAGAAAAGTACATGGACAAGAACAGTGGAGATTTGAAACCTGGCAAAAAAGGTATACAAATTGTTGAGACAATTTTTTCTTCAACAGTAAATAAATTGAACATTTTTTCTTTCAGGTATATCTTTGAATGTTGAAAACTGGAAACAGTTTTACGATATTGTTGAGGAAGTTAATGAAGCTGTTAAGTCTCAGTAATTGTTGGGATTTTATCATTTTCCTTGTATAAAAAGAGAACTCAAACTTTTGTATTTTATTTTCTTATAAAAATGTTTCTTTGTAAAAAAATAAAAAAGTCCTTATGAGAAATGGGTTGATTCAATTTTTTCTATCCGACACAACTAAAAAACTGCAAAGTAAATTTTAAAATGAAATAATAAGAATATTATTTATGAGATCTCATTAATCCTGGTAATACAATTATTTCTTATGCAATTCTATATGAGTGAAAATTATTACATTTATTACAGTAATTTCACAGATATTTTTCTTTGATAATATATAAAATTGACAGTTTTATAAATGTATTAAGTTTTTTTACAGTTTAACTCAACAAATTTGTGTTACACACTGAACATTTCTAACAAGTAATATTATTATCTATTACATTTTAATGCTAATATAAAAAAATATATTATTTACAAATGTTTTGAATATATACACAAAAATTTTACAAATTTTACACTAAACAAACGTTTCATGTAACTATATCATCCATTATGCACTTTTTTCAAAAACTCCTCAAGTGAGATGTTTTTACCTAACAAATTTAGACTATCAGGTTTCGGAGTGTCCTTAGTCTGTAAAAATCAAAAAGTTTAAGTTGAATAAGTACATTCGAGAATATTTTTGAATTATTAAATACGGTCTCCAAAATATTTACCTCGGTACTTTTTTTCGTAGGAGACAATTTACTTTTCTCGCTCTTTTTACTAGGCTTTTTATGTTTCGATTTGCTAGTTGATTTGACCTTAGGCGAAGAAGTAGCCAACGGTAGCCCTTTATCCTTCGGTTTTGTCTGCGATCTCTTGGGACTAACATTCGCGGCAGGTGGAGAGTTTAAGAGAATGAATGGGGTGACCTTCAGCGTGGTGACACTGATATTTCCCTCGTTATCGGGGTTTCCAACGGTGTACTCCTCGTCGAGTTTCACTCCGTCGCATTGAAGTTTGCGCTTTTTAATGGGCTTCGAATCGTCGTAGACGCACTCTTCCTCCTTGATGTTCGAGTTGCTGTCCGAGCTGCGAAAGCTCGCGTCGAGGTCGGATTTGTTGGCCGGTCTGAGCTCCAAGCACTCGAGCACCTGCAAATCCTCGCTCGGCGCGTCGACGCTCTTGCGGGCGTTCGTCTGAGAGCGAGTAGTGCGCTGTTGCTGCTCGCCCTCGTCGCCGGAGAAAAGATCTCGTTTGACTTGTTCGACCTTCGACGCCGCACTCTCGCGCTCGTTCGCCGCGACTTTCGAGGGAGAAGAAGAACCGGCGCTCGACTTTTTCTTCGGGCTCGCCGCCGCCTTCGTTTTCGTGGCTGCTTTTTTCGGCGCTTCCTTCTTGACGTTGTTCAAGGCTGCTCTCGCTTTGAGTACTTTGTTGGCTGGCTTCTTCGGTGGCACAACTTTGGTGGGTGCGGCATTGCCAGCTTTGAATTTCGCCAAAACCCTCAGCCTCTTTTCCTCCAACTGCCGGCTGATTTTGGCGTTAGACATTGGCGACATCTTAGGAACGTTGGATATTTTGGCCTTCGTGACACCAGCGTGATTCGGCTTTGTCTCAGATTTTTTTTTTGGCGAGCTCACGGATCGTTCCCCTGTAAAATAACTCGTTAAAAAACAAAACATTTCGGAGCTCGATGCAGAGATAGAGCTAAAACGCTTACCCAACTTACCACTCGAGGAAGTGGTTACAATCGCCGCCGAGATCTTTGCATTCAGATTTGTTAAAGAATCTCGTCTCAAGGCTCTATCGGCCACGGTGACACTCGGCGTCTCGGATATCTCAGCTTCCGCGACATTTTCCTCTTTGGCAGGTGTCTCTTTCGGATCGTCTTCCTCGGGATATATCGGGAACGTGTTCTCGGGCGAGGCTGGCTGGTCGTGGTGTATTATGACGTTATCGTCGTCTTCTTGAATGGAATCCTTTCTCGATTTAGCCGGCGAATTTTCGGAGTCGCTACCGCTTCGACTGGATGAGCTTCTTGAGGATCTGGACGCGGAGGACGACGAGGACGAAGACGAGGTCGAAGACGAAGTGGAGCTGTCGGAATTGCTACCGGATCGATCGTCGTCGTCGCTCTCCGAGTCCGAGTCGTCGCTACGGTCGTCTTGGCCCTCCTTCTCGGGTGACTGCGTGTCTTCTTTTGCATCCTGCGACTCGTTCCGAGAGTCGTTCGCTGATTTTTGCTTCGGACTGGTTTTCGCGATGTCGTCGGCCGAAAGCTCCTTGGACGTGTTGGCGGTCGTGTCCTCAGAAAGCGAGCTCGAAGTATTCGCGTTCGATCCTGTTGTATTGTGACTCGTGTCCGAACTTGTGATGGAACTCATAAAACTGGCATCTTTGAGTTTACGATCTTTCGGCGATGTCTTCTGGGGCGTTGCATCGGTTTCACCTTCGATTTCATCGTCGTTTTTTCCATTTTCCACGATCACTTCCGCCTCCTGTGGTTTTTTATCCTGACAGCTCATTTTGATGTGGTTTTCCTTGGCGATCTCGTTGATCCGTCTCAGAGCCTCTTCGCTGGGCTCGTAATAAGCGGTCGATCGATTCTTATCGGGCGTTATTATGACCTGAGGAGTCTTAGGAAAGTCCGGGGTCGGCACGCCCCCGAGACCTCGGATGCTGCGCGTGAGATGAGTGGGCCTGTACACGTGATCGCCGGGAGTGGTGAGAATCTTCGGCGTCGGCGGCACGGTCATCTCGTTTTTCGAGGGCGTGACTATGTCGCCCAGCGACGGCAAGTGATAGGTGATGACGCGCCCGGCCAATATCTCCAGCTCGGCCTCGCGATTCTTGACCGTGTTTTCCTTGTTGTTCGCGGCGTCGTCGGTCGCGATGGTGCTCGATTCGATTCCCGAATCGGGTTTGTTGGAATTTTTCGTAATTGCCGACGATTCGTTGTCCGATTGTGGTTGAGTTTCGACGTTGCTGTTGGAGCGGCTCAGAGTTTTACCTCGGCGCTTCTTTGGAGTTTTACCGGTCTGAAAGTTATTAATAAAATAAACAATCAAATGCCACTTTTATAGAGACAAACTCGAGACTTTAAATTACGTACCTTTTTCGGACTCTCTCCATCGGTATCATCCGGCTTGGATCTTTTTCTCGTTCTCTTTCGTTTGATTTTCGGTTCTTCCTGCAGTCCGGCCCCGATAATTTTTCTCAGATCGCTGTCCCAGCTCTTTCCCGTCTCCTTTTTCTCTTCATATTTTTTCGCTTCTTGCGTTTGCTTTGGTTGCTGCTGCTGCTGCTGTTGCTGTTGCTGTTGCGGATGTTCCTCCTCCTTCGCGGAGCCTTGCGAGTACTCGGTGCTCCTGTCCATGGAGCTCTCGCTCTCGCCAAGTATCAAGCCGATGCCCGTCACCTTGTTCCAGTTGCCCTGCAGCTTCGGCGCCGGACTTCTGGTGGCGATGGGAACGGGCACGCGTTGGTACTGCACCGGCGACAGGGTGCGTATCTTGCGCTGGCCCGTTGTCGCCGTTGCTGCCACCACCGGGCGCCTCTTGTTGTTGTCGGCTGAGGCGGCATCCGGTGGCGAGGTGAACAATCCGGCTCGGCATACCGCGTGCAAACGTCTGCCGCTCGACGACGACGCGTCCTTGTCCCGTGGCTCGCCGTTGGGACCGCAACCCTTCTTCGGCGTGTCGAAGTCCAGGGCTCGTACGTGACGTTCGCGACGTCGCGGAGTGGACAAACTCAGACGCGCGCGTGCCGGATTCGGATTGGTGCGCGAGACTCGCATACTCTGCGGAGTGCGCTTGACAATCGGGTAGTGATGATGCTGCTGCTCCGCTGCGATTCTCGCGGCGGGTTTATTGTCGCTGCCGCCGCCGCTTTTTTGCTGCGAATCTGCAGAAGTCGTTGCAGTCGTTGCAGCTGTAACAATTACCTCGGATGTGGATTGCTCCATCATCGAGGGCACTTCTTGGACTGTCGACAAACTTAGCGCGTATTTTTCTGCCGATGGTTGCGATTCAGTACTGTCTTTCTTCTCGGTTACTTGCTGATTTTCTGTAACAATCTCACTTACCGGCTCGATCGCTTGGATCTTTTCGTTGTTGGTACTCATCATTTCTTCTATTTCAACGTCGATCGTTTCAATTACAACCGGTTCTTGATTATTATCTTCGACCGTTTTTGGTCGCTCCGTTCTGAGGCTTTTGAAAAAGGGCGACAAACCGGTACCGGTAAAACTCAAGGATGACTCTTCGCAAGTGATGGGAGGAATAATGCTAGTTACGGGCGCCGCGACGGTTTGAGCTTGTTCATCATTGGCATAAAGAGTGATCGCTTCATTCTGTTTGGGTTGACAAATAATTTTACTTTGAATTTCCATCAGTGGTGGATTAAGTAAATGCCGAGGCACGTTTACCGTCCGGAAGAATAATTTTGGTTGGTTGGACTCGGATTCTACTACAGGCCCAGTAGTTAAACCTATTTTCGGCGCGATGGGCAAAAATGAGCTACTATTGTTCTTAGTCTGTGTGGAAACAGACATTTCTTCTTCAGAGCACAGAATTAATGTAGGCATTGTATCCATCGCTTGATCAGCTAAACGCTGCTTTTGTACAGCTTCTTCAGACAAAGCTTTAACTGGTGGTTTTGGTCTAGATGGTTTGTGTTTTCTTACTGGTCCCTTTCGTGATTTTGTTTGTTTTTTGTTGGGTGAATTATGAGAATTCGCTGCAACTGGTGCTGGAATAACTTCAATGCAGTTGTAATTTTCCAGGGGATTATCTGAAAATGCATTTTCTGGTGGTCCTGTTGTTATTTCACTTGACATTGATGTCAAATTATTATTCCTATTGCTATTAGCCATTTTAACTATGTTCATGATTGCCTCTGCATTTTGATCATCCAAACGACTGTTAGCATCTTTCCTGAACATATAATTAATTATTAATATCATAATACAGGTTTCATATATAATCATCTTAAACTTGATACTTACTCTTCCTCATCTGCAATATTAAAAGTCTTTGAAGAACTGCGTAATCTTTGCTTCAGAGGTATTTCAAAATTATTTGCTTCAACTGGTGGAACATTTACATTTGAAAGTTGAGATTCAAAAGGAACACAATTGTTATCAATGTCCATAAATTCATAATTTGCACTGTAACAAAATAATTTTGAATGTGTAAATATAGAAACTTGATTCGTTGATGATAAAAAATTTACTTACTGTACATCATTCACTCGATTTGATAGTTTTTTTTTGGGCTCAGAGCATGTAGTTGGGACGACATCCCCATCTCCAGTATTGAAAATTTCTGTGAGGAATTTTTCAAATACTGGATCGTTATGAGTAGTCTCAACTGCATTCTTTATAGCATTGTCAAATTCAGTTAACAACGATGCATTATGATCATCTTTTGTTTTATCATGGATATTTTTATCTTCTTGCACAGCTTTGGTAGAATTAATTGCTTTGCAAGCATTCTCAGCAATTCTTTCAATTAATTCTTCACGCTTTAATAACTTTTTAGTAAAAAACTGTAAAGGAATGAAATTTTTTTCAGTATATTGAAAAAGTAATGTATGAACTACTGTTTAATTTATATTGAATATTGCTAACTAACACTTAAATTTGATGCTGGTTCCAATTGATCTTGATCCAATGGTGGGCTAAAAGTTTGTACTTCAGCACTAGAGTAGATTCTTAATTCATCTGTACTAGTTTCTGCAGTACGTTTATTACTAATTTGTTCATTTTCACTAAATTGTACAGGTACAGTTGCCTGGTCCTTAGTATTACTATTTACATTTATACTTGTAGCAACATTTGTAGAAGCTAAAAATAAATGGTTCAAATAAGTAATATAATTTAAAGAAAAGCAGGACATGAAATTTCTTACTTTTGTTTGAATTTTCTTCAGTCCCAGTGTAAAATATTTCATTGCTTTTTGGAACACTAATTTCATTAATTCTATAAAATGTATGATTGTTTGAAACACCATTATGGTTATTTATTCCTGTACTTGTTGATTCTGTTGACTCAACATGAATTGGTAAATTACCCATTGGTGGCATTTCAGAATTATCACAGACTGTAAAATTGTATAAGAAAACATTGACAAAACTCATGAACAATTTGAATTTTTTATTTGCAAGAAATATACATACTTTGTTTATTAGGCTTTTGATTTGACTTATATTCAACATTACTCAATATCCTTGGTATTCCTCTTTTGGTTTTCTCAATACTGCTATGTTGTTTTTTTTTAGAATTACTAGAATTTGCTAAGGGTCCTTGAGAATTCTAGACATGAAACCACATTGAATTAAAAACTACAATTGGAAATAAAACAAAATGTTTTATGAAAAATCTTACCTGCGAAGGAACTTTAATATTTACAACGAATCGATTCCCTCTTGTTTCTTCTAAAAGATATCTCAGTTGTTCCAAGAGATCATTACACTGTTTAACTTGCTCGCTATCTACTTTACTCAATTTTTCTTGAACTAAAAAAAAATTAAATTTATTTTACAGATCATTTTAAGTGCTTTTAAGCACAAAAAAAGGAAGTTTATATAATTACCAAGAGCATTGGCAGCACAGTACTTATCCAATATCTCAACCAAATTTAATCCACCAACTTTTGTACTGTACCTTCCACCCCTTTGCTTGACTATTCGACACTCTTGCAACAATGGACAAGTGTCCATGAATATTTTTCCTGCTTCCTCGCATTGTTCTTGGAGATATCCTGCAATAAAAAAATGCGCAAAAATGGCAGAGTGAGCGTTTGTTTATTCCTAACCTACCGTCCTTTCCAAGAGTTCACGCGCAATGATTCTTAGAGGACGAGAAAAATTGATCAAAATAATATCATAATAATAATCGAACGCGAAAGTTGGTCACAAGTGTCAAAAATAAAGCTTGTGTTTACACGCGCAAAAACAGTACACAATCACGCTCTCGAGCGCGTAAGTAGTATACTCACCTAGAACGAGTCTTGCTATTTCCGAGGGCAGAAGAGCTTCCATGGTACGAAAAAAAGATAGATTAGAGGCACATGCACGCACACCACACAAACGCACGGGCTCCGAAAACTAGATTACACAGTTACGACTAATTTTAATTAAATCATCGCGATAATTTCGCGGCTTCGAAACGTTGTCATTTTGTAACTGTCTTTTATTGAACTGTCTATGTACATTTGCGCACAGCATATATTACATATATATATTACTATATATATCGCACACCGAGGCGCGTTCTTAGGTTCTGAAATCCGAACTGACAACAAACGCGTCGATAGCGCGCGCGCACCCAAGCCACATGGCTGCTGCTGCTGCTGCTGGGCAGCGCGCGCGATCCGGAGCGGATCGTCTAACGACCAAAACTCGCTTTTTGGCGCGCTAAACGTTCCGAATAGACCCATAGCAGTTATTAGGGGCCTTCCATTAATTACGTAAGGGGTTTTTTTGATTTTTCCGACCCCTCCCCCCGTCACGTAAGTGATTTTCCTGCCCCTCACGACATGGTGAGTAAGAAATTTTGACACCCCCCCTCCCCCCAAAGACCCTTACGTAATTAATGGAAGGCCCCTTAGGGTATATTCATTATCCTTCACTAAATGCATATTTCTACAAAATAAGGTATATTCATTATCCCTCACTATATGAATTTTCTAACAAAGTAAGGTACTTGATCCTTTTCTGAATATAATGCACCTTAGTGATGGAAAATAGGCTTTGGCGGAATTTTAAGCTAGTTGGTAATTATACGCAGCGATAAATTCTTTGACCCTTCTAAGTAAATTAAAATAATTCGTGCTATGCGATAAATACAATTTTTCAATGTATTTTAGTTCGTTCAGAGCAAGGGTTCCTCGTTAGCCCTACAATTTTCACTCATTCCAAATTTCAAATCCTCCGTAACCGACGCTTGAAAATTCAGAATTGAAAATTGTAAGTTGATGACATGAAAAAACCGCAGCAAACGAGTTGTGACATTAGTTTCCAGGATAATTAAGGATGTAAAGAACCAAAAATGTCCCCCCGAGAAATTGTCCGCTTTTGTTTAAACAATGATTTTATGCAAAAAATAAGCGCATGTTTTCGTTTTTCATGAATAACTTCGAAACGAAGGCAGCTACAGATATGTCCCTGGAGAGAAAATGAAGAGAATTTAATTACCTCTCATTTGATTTTTAATACGACCCGATCGGATAAATATTTTCCGAGGAAAATGCCGAAACCCCATAGAAAATTATTTTGAATCCATTACATATCCCTTACGCCCTCATAATTTATTTCCTCGTAAGGGGAAAATAATCAATAAGACTATCAGAAATGAAGTTTTGATTTAGTTCGCAGATATAAGTTTTTATCCATTTTATTGACAAATCGTCCCAAATGTTAACGAACGATGAACCCGTTCGATTGGTATGAATCATTTTCTCATATTAGCTTCGCATAAATTTCCTATAAGAAAGCACGAAAAAAGTTTAAACAGTCGAGCAGAACGCATATCGCGTCTAAAACACTTATTGAATAAAGCCGTTCAGGCAACGATACATACAACCGATTGCTAGGGGTTAGTACTCGAAAAAAGCTCGAATCAATTTTTTTTTCGAGTACTCGAATCTTTCCGACTCGACTCGTACTCGACTCGTCAATTANGGGGAGGTATGGTGCTGATTGATCAATTTTTTTCAATTTTTAAAATTTTTTTTTACTAGTAAAAAAAAATTTATTTCTATAATGCACATGTGAAAGTACATGACGTCGAGAGTATTTTGTGAAAATTTCATCAAAAAAATTTTCATTTTTGGACCATTGAGAGCAAATCTACGGAGAAGTCGTGAAAATTCTGGTGAGACACGTAACTTTTCACAGAATCATCTGAAACGAAAAATGCAAAATTACCTCATTAGTTTATGAGTTTTATCAGGTACTGACGTAGAGTTTTTTCTTTTATGGTGATTTTTCGAATTTTGACGTAATGTTGAAGTTGAAAAAAACGTTGAAATTGCGTCCATACATGAAAAATCGACCTTTTTTCGGAAAATTTGTTGTAAAAAAAAAAATTTTCGGAAAAATCGAAATATCTTGACGTCAGTACCAGCTCAAAAAGTTTATAAAGAACTGTGCAAATTTTCAAAAGGATCGGTTGAATACTTTTTGAGTGACGTTTCTCACCGATTTGAAAAATGTCATTTGGAGGAATCGCAGTTCAAAGATACATTATGCGTCAAGATTTTTCTAATCGGTGAGAAACGTAACTAAAAAAGTATTCAACCGATCCTTTTGAACATTTGAATAGTTCTTTACAAACCCTTTAAGCAGGTACTGACGTAGAGATATTTTGATTTTTCCGAAAATTTTTTTATTCGTAACGAATTTTCTGAACAAAATGAATTGACGTGAAATGCGACAGATGGCAAATAGTAATCGAATTAAAAGTTCAATATTTTCGTCAATTTTGCTCAGATTGGGCTGAAATTTTCACAGAATACTCTTGAAAGTATAAACAATCAAATAAAACAATAAAAAAAATCGAGGTCAGGACCATACACCCCCCCTCCCTTAAGGGAATTATGACTCCTTTTATTACAAAATGTGCACGTATTATTGGAAGACTTGCAACTGTTCAATCTTTGTATGCATGCGGAAATCAATCAAAACAGTGGGAGGCCGGTCAGAGTAATTCTAGTTTCGAGGCGAAGATTTTCTGACAAGCAACAATTACTTAGAAAAAAAAGTTCAGCCGGTAAATGGGATGTCAAAAGTTTGTTCCCACGACGATATTTCAAAGAACGAATACACAGCGAAATCGTGTAGATATTTGAGTTCATGTTTAAAAGGTGAGTAATAGATTTTCACAGTCACAACGATATCATAAAACAATCTGAAATGTTTTATTGTTCGTGAGAAGGGTTGTTAAAAATTACGTAGCTTATAGCCCTATTCAAATTTTCAGGCAAATTCTGCAAATGCAAAGGAGGTTGGAGCACGAGGACCACCGCCAGAGATGCGCCCTGAGGATACAGGCCTGGTGGCACGGCTGTATGGTCAGGCACAAATTGGGCCCCTACAGGCCGGAGGATCGACGCGGCCGCAAGCGTCAGCCCAAAGCGAAGAAGTGAACGTCGCTAGTTTTATTTTTCATCGTTGTTTACACACCGGTTAACGATATTTTTTAATGCCATCGACGGAGAGAGAGTAATAGGAGATTATTGCAACTTCTACGTAACATTATCTATCCAAGTTGTCTCGTCTCTCTTTCTATCTCGTTGCGTTTGTTTTCTTTTGTTTTACCACATGTGAAGTCAGAGTCTCTTTGAATTCGGTAATGATTAGAAAGTGTAAATCCAGCGGGAAGCGAGCAGCCTCCACTACGTATTTTACTTCCAATAACTGTACATAGCTCGCGCTGCTTTAATTGTATCTCTCGTAGCTGCGACCATCTGTTCTCACTTTCTATATAGATCTTGGTGCATGTAATTTCAGTACAGGTTACGACGCCGCAGCGTGAACAGAAAAAGATCGTGTCGTTTTCATCGAGTAATTTTTGTTAATTAAAAAATATTCTAAATTACAAACAATTGTGTGCTGTGCGTGAGAGGGCAGAAAAATGGCCACGTCCAACGACGCATCCGTTGAAAATTTGGATAGCCAACAAAGAATAGAAAGATTGAAGAGCTATCGAAAAAATATCAATTGGGAGGTTGAAGGCGAGCGACACGAATTTCTCCGTAAAATTAAGCCATTAATATGTAATTGCCGTGACGAATATCCTAATCTCCAGGAGATTTTTCGGACCGAAGAAATTGAATGTCTTATTAAGGATTCCGTTTACTATCTTGAAGGCAAGCAACAAGACAAAGAACTCTCTTGGTTCTTCGTCTTCATGATTCACACCAGATACAAGGACAAGCCCGAAGTTGGTATAGTCGGCAAGCCATCGCCGCGTCGCACTACACTAGTGCATCATGCGGCTAGTCTCGGATACCGCAACGCCATCGGGAATCTGCTTTTTATCGTATATGACCAATCCGACCTGAATTACACCGACGAGTTCGGACATACGCATTTTCATGTGGCCTGCGAGTTTGGCTTTGACTATGTCATCAAAAAATTTCTTGACCTTGGACATGACCCCAATTGTCTTCTTGATAAATCGAGCTCATTTGATCAGCCGCTGTTCTTGGCTCTGAAACATGGAGAGAATATGATAGTTGAATTGCTTCGTAGAATAGATTTTGATCCGAATTCAGTCAACAAGGATGGGTCGACACCTCTACACATGATTAGCCAGAATACTAGATATATTACTTATGTAAACACTGGTACAACGACTTACTTTGCTCATAACTTGGCGAAGACGTTATTCGAACTCAACAATGAAAAATACCAACCAGTGCAGATCGACGCCCGAGATAAGTTGGGCAACACACCGCTACATGAGGCCGCGAAACTGGTAAACAAGGTAATGATTGAATTCCTGTTGAGGAAAGGCGCCAATCCGAACTTGGTCAACGTGGAGGGATCGACAGCTCTGCATCATTTCTACCATTGCCAGCTTCTGGGTTCGGATTCGAGTACGATTGATCTATTCTTCAAGATCTGCGACGAAAAACAGCAGCTTGTAATGGTCGACGCTAAAGATAAGTTGGGTCGTACACCCCTACAATGGGCCGTGGCCAATCTCTGGCCAGATGGCATCGATATTCTCTTCGAACATGGCGCTGATCTGTCCAACTTCGTTTTTCCCACTGAAAACTATTTCGCCGAGAGATTTAATTCGTGGAAATATGAGATATACGGAAATTATGAATATAGATTCCAACTAGCTTCTAGAGCTCTGGCTGTTGTCGAGCTCATAGTGAAAAGAGGGTACCAATTGGATCGGAGCGACGTCCTGACGATTATGAAATTTTTCGCCAAACATGGATTGTTCCAGAAGTCGGACGAACTTAAAAAATCTGGTTGGTATGATGAAGGGAAGCAGGTGACGTATAAAGACACAAAAAAAGTGATGATAAGTCCAAGTGTGTCGCTCTACGATCTGACTCGGCTACGACCCGAAAAGGCGGAAAAACTACTCACTTACACAGACTACTGGAAGTTCCGGTTGCGTTACTATTTACTCGAAAATTATCGTGAACCTTGTGATTTACATCTGTGTGAGAAACTATCGAGGGGATTTTTTCTGCACTGGGCCCTGGATCCTTTCTGGGAGTTGATTCACAAACGATTACCACTTGAAATCTGCGAAATGATCCTTGACCATCTGACGAAC